CAACATCAGAGTGCAGCGCCACATTAAATACGCACTACAATGACAATAGTTTAAAGCGATTTGAAGCATCTTCTTTGGGTCTTTCGGTAAAGTCACGTAGAATGAGAATAAATTAATAAATTGATAAAATAAAATAACACAATTAAATTCTCACGACGTTTCGGCCACACTTCACTTCAGGTGAAAGAAACAGACTGTTCCTTTCACCTGAAGAAGGCCACTTGTGTTGTGGCCGAAACGTCGTGAGAATTTTATTGTGTTATTTTATTATTTTATTATTTTATTCTCATTCTACGTGACTTTACCGAAAGAACCAAAGAAGATGAATCCTTGCAGTCACGAAAGCTTTAAATCGAAATAAAATAAGACAATAAAATTATCATGACGTTTCGACCACAACACAAGCAGCCTTCATAAGGTGAAAGAACAGAACTGTCGGGACGACAGTGCTCCAATGAGTGTTGTTAAGATTCGTAGCGGTCTTTTTAAGCTCGATGAGAGGCGTGAAACCTCTTGACAAAGGAGTTTAAGTATCAAAGCAGGAGAATTTAGCATTGAAATAGTTGAGGGATTATCTTGTGACAGAAATAGCTATGTTAGAGTCAATGTTTACCTATCAACCGAGGCATTTAGTATATGGACGCTAAAGGCCTCCAACTACCCAACTATCATACAGTAAACCGATGTGAAACAAACTAAGTCTATATTACATCAATATAATAAATGTACTTAATATATTTTTCAATAAGCTGGGCTATTAATCACAAAGCAACTTGTGTATACACTACACTATATAATGAGTGTCTTTTAAGCTCGGTGAGAGGCGTGAAACGTCTTGACAAAGGAGTTAACGTATCAAAGCAGGATAATTTAGCATTGAAATAGTTGAGGGATTATCTTGTGACAGAAATAGCTATGTTAGAGTCAATGTTTACCTATCAACCGAGGCATTTAGTATATGGACGCTAAAGGCCTCCAACTACCCAACTATCATACAGTAAACCGATGTGAAAAAAACTGGGTCTGTATTACATCAATATTATAAATGTACTTAATATAGTCTTCAATAAGCTGAGCTATTAATCACATGGCAACTGGGTAAGGTAATGCCAGCGAAAGAGCTGCGGTCTGACGGTCGCCGTAAAATACAATTAATTAAGAACCGAAATGGTTTAAAACATCTTTCCAATGGTAACTAAGCTAGAATCCTTCTTCTCGGTTGAAATTGTCTCTGTACTTGTATATGTGGATGGCTTCATGAACGAATCTCTCATGGTAGCCAGTTGGCTTGCAAAGAACCTCCGTCTTGGAGAAGTCAATGTCATGTGAGCCCACTGAATTATAACAGTGATCTGCAACGGCAGAAGCGTTCGTCCTACCGTGTTTCAAGTCTGCTTTATGTTCGCGGATGCGGTCCGAGATATGTCGTTTGGTTTCTCCAATGTAGTTGCTACCACAGAGGCACTTTAGTTTGTAAACGCCCGGGTACTGTATGTCTGGAACAGCATCTTTTACAGATGGAACCAGATCACGGATTTTATGTACTGTGTTGAATCGGACCTGGATCTTGTGTTTGATATACTGCGACCTTTCACTGGAAAAACCACCTCTGTGATACTAAATTCTACTCACCTGGTATCGACAATCAAGGGTATTTCCCTGTCCCCAGACGACCTACTTGTCAGTTTTGATGTGGTTTCCTTATTCACCAAAGTTCTGGTACCTGACACCATCGCAATCAATGAAGACTTGGTTCATCAAGAACTACATACTGATGTACCCCCCCTGGTGAGACATTGCTTAACCAACACATACTTCGATTTAAAGCTTTCGTGACTGCAAGGATTCATCTTCTTTGGTTCTTTCAGTAAAGTCACGTAGAATGAGAATAAAATAATAAATTGATAAAATAAAATAACACAATAAAATTCTCACGACGTTTCGGCCACAACACAAGCGTCCTTCATCAGGTGAAGGGACGAGACTGTCTGGAGGACAGCGCTGGAGTGAAAAAACCACGCTCAGATCGCGACCTTTAAGCTTAGAGTCGCGGCATCTCTTCAGGAAGGTGAGAGACTCGATTAGTTGAGCCTTCTTATCCCGGAGTCTGTTGAATGATCTTAAGGTTGTGTGGAATCCTTCCCCGTAGAGGCGGTTAAATTTCGATTTAAAGCTTTCGTGACTGCAAGGATTTATCTTCTTTGGTTCTTTCGGTAAAGTTATGTCGTGAGTTATGTCGTGATAATTTTATTGTGTTATTTTATTTTATCAATTTATTATTTTATTCTCATTCTACGTGACTTTACCGAAAGAACCAAAGAAGAACAACACATACTTCACCTGGAATGGAACTTTCTACAAACAGACTGAGGGCACCCCAATGGGCTCACCCCTGTCTCCGGTTGTAGCCAACGTGTTCATGGAAAAATTTGAAACTGACGCCATCCAGACTGCCACTCTACGCCTCATGGAAGAGGTACGTGGATGACACTTTTGTCATCTGACCACATGGCCAGCCTGCTCTAGACCAATTTCTCGACCACATTAATTCCATACACCCAGCTATCAGATTTACCATGGAGGTCGAAAAAGATGGCAAGCTACCCTTTTTGGATGTCTTAATTAAAAGGAGACCTGATGGTTCAATGAGCCACTCTGTCTACAGAAAAGCTACATATACAGATGCTTACTTGAAACCGGATTCCCACCACCATCCATTCCAGAAGAACTTCCTCATAAAGACTCTATACCATAGAGCCCAATGCATTTCTGACCAGGAACACATTGCCAGTGAACTCAAGCACGTACACCAGGCTCTCAGGTCTAATGGTTACTCCGACTACACAATCCGCAAAGCCATCACTCCAGTCATGAAGAAGGATCCTCTTGAGGAGCCACTCAAAACCATCACTTTACCCTACATTGCAGGGGTCACTAAAAAGATCTCCAAAATCTTGAATAAACACAAGATCCAGGTCCGTTTCAACACATTACATAAAATCCGTGATCTGGTTCCGTCTGTAAAAGATGTGATTCCGGACATACAATACCCTGGTGTCTACAAACTAAGTTGCCTCTGTGGTAGTAGTTACATTGGAGAAACCAAACGCCATGTCTCGGACCGCATTCGTGAACACAAAGCAGACCTTAAACACGGTAGGACCAACACCTCGGCCGTGGCAGATCATTGTTCTAATTCAGTAGGCTCACATGCCATTGACTTTTCCAAGACAGAGGTTCTTTGTAAGCCATCTGGCTTCAATGAGAGATTCGTTCATGAGGCTATCCACATATACAAGCACAGAGACAATTTCAACCGAGAAGATGGATTCTATCTTAGCAATCATTGGAAAGATTTGATAAACCATTTCAGGTTTTAATTGATTGTTCACGCTTACAGTGGCTTTCAGACAGCATATATTATAAAAAAAAATTCGTCTCCCCCCTCCTATTTTCAGAATATAGATGGACTAGTCCTGGACAAACTGCCAAATCGTTGCGCGTGGCGCTAACGTTTTTTATAAATAAATAAATGCGCCGTTTAAAAATAAATTTATGCGAACCAACACACCTGAAGACGACCGTTTGAGTTATGGTCGAAACGTCGTGAGAATTTTTTATTGTTTTATATATATTTTATTATTTTGTTGTTTCTCTTCAACGTGACTTTACCGAAAAAAACTAAGAAGATGTTTTAACCATTTCGGTTCTTAATTAATTGTATTTTACGGCGACCGTCAGACCGCAGCTGTTTCGCTGGCATTACCTTACCCAGTTGCCATGTGATTAATAGCTCAGCTTATTGAAGAATTTATTAAGTATATGTATTATATTGATCTAATACAGACCCAGTTTTTTTCACATCGGTTTGCTGTATGATAGTTGGGTAGTTGGAGGCCTTTAGAGTCCATATACTAAATGCCTCGGTTGATAGGTAAACTTTGACTCTAACATAGCTATTTCTGTCACAAGCTAATCCCTCAACTATTTTAATGCTAAATTATCCTGCTTTGATACGTTAACTCCTTTGTCAAGACGTTTCATGCCTCTCACCGAGCTTAAAAGACACTCATTATATAGTGTAGTGTATACCCAGTTGCTTTGTGATTAATAGCCCAGCTCATTGAAGAATATATTAAGTACATTTATTATATTATGTAATATAGACTTAGTTTGTTTCACATCGGTTTACTGTATGATAGTTGGGTAGTTGGAGGCCTTTAGCGTCCATATACTAAATGCCTCTGTTGATAGGTAAACTTTGACTTTAACATAGCTATTTATGTCACAAGCTAATCCCTCAGCTATTTCAATGCTATATTCTCCTGCTTTGATACTTAAACTCCTTTGTCAAGAGGTTTCACGCCTCTCACCGAGCTTAAAAAGACCGCTACGAATCTTGACAACACTCATTGGAGCACTGTCGTCCCGACAGTTCTGTTCTTTCACCTGAAGAAGGCCGCTTGTGTTGTGGCCGAAACGTCGTGATAATTTTATTGTCTTATTTTATTGTATTATTTTATTCTCATTCTACGTGTCTTTACAGAAAGAACCAACGAAGATGAATCCTTGCAGTCACGAAAGCTTTAAATCGATTTGAAGCATGTTTTTTTTTTGGGGGGGGGGCAGAGCTTTGTGACGTAATATTTGAGGGGGGTCTAACTTTTTGTGATGTCGTGTGACGACCGAGGGGGGGGGGTCAAAAATCGTCCTAAATCGCGTGACGTCATTTATGGACGGCCCCTAAGTCCAACAGAAACGTACCATTAAGTCCTATACAATGTACCTTGACTTAAACCCAAAACATGTACGATCATAGCTGCATTTTATTTAAAATAAGAAATCCATGTAAGATCTGACCCTCCAGCGATGTGCCTCCAGTATGCAAATCCATTGCCACCCAGATTAATGTCGGAAAGTTTTTAACATTTTGTATGAAACTTGTTTATCCTGTCCACGGGCTGTGCCTAAACACTTGTTCAGACGGGGCTCCTCCCCCATGCTTGGCGACCTCATCACCCACCCTCCTTTATTTGTACCTTCCAGATCACCCATCGTCTCATTCGCCGCCCGAACATACACGCCAAAGGTGTTTAATTTTCTCGGATCGCGCATTTCCAGACCTTCAAATCTTGCTCGCCGACAGGTAAGAATTAAATTTGTGTTGTGTCTTTGCGAGAGATTTATGTTGTTTGTATCTTGCTTTGGTGGGTTTGTATAGCGTTTCGGTGTGGAGTGGTGGCACGGCAGTCAGCACGCGTTGCTCTGTGAGCCCGGTACCCATCCACGGCTCACATCAGTGAAAAGCGTTTTGAAGCATGGTAACAAAAAAACCAATGGCCGACACGGAGTGGTGAGACCTTTCATCCCGCAATGGATGACAAAGAGCCGTACAATATTATTGTATTATTATTCTTAGTGTAATAAGTAACGTAACAGGGATTTCTTTGAGCACGTCGAATTCGAAATGCAACATTTTAGTTCATCAGCCGATGAGTCCTTTTGGAACCAGCGTTTTCTGCCAGACGTGATGGGTTTAAGCACTATCTTGGGTCAAGCTTCGCTTCTGAGACATGAAGAGATCCGGGCACATTAAGGATGATTTAGTTATATGCATATATCTGTATGCATTTCACTGGATCCAACAGCAACATAAAACGCGTACGATCATAGCTGTATTTAAATTAAAATAAGAAATCCATGTAAGATCTAAATAACATATTGGACAATTATGTCTTACCTTCCAGCGATGTACATGCAGTGCGAATATTCAGCGGCATCCAGATTCATGTCTGAAGGGTTTGAACCTTTTTGATCCGACATGTTTTTCCTGTTTACGAGCTGTGCCTAAACACTTATTCAGACGCTTCTCACTTGAAGCACCGCTAGCGGTGAGCGAACTGCCCTGTATTGAGCCTGGCGAGCTGAGTTCGATTCCCGGCCACGGCTAACACCAGCCATGAGATATATCCAGCACCTCTGTTTATGACGGTTGGCTACGTACGGTGCGAAAGAAGTTCAACACACAGACATATCGATATTTGAGCCGGTCCTGGGTCACACGCCTACTTCACCAACCCGCGCCATCCCGCGCTAACCAGTGCGGTGATGTATGGTCGAACGTTCTTCATCACCAATATGGCTCAGAGAGGACCTAATCGTCGAATGCATTGACAAACGGTTGAATATACATGTCCGTCATCATCATCATCAGCAGCAGCAACCATGGTCAATCCACTGCTGGATGGCGGCCTCCAGATACATTATTCAGTTGCAGTGGTTGCAGTTTAGTTTAGTAAAGTTTATTTAGATGTTTGTATGCGGATAATCCCGTTAAGGGAGATCCGTGGCGCGTGAGCACAGCAGCAACAAACAAAAAAACGTCCAATGTTGGAACGAAACACACGCGAGTCAAAACCAGTGCAAGTGTAATATGAGAACGTTATAGTCTCTCTTTCTGTCTAACAAAGGCAAAGCCCCCCACCCCGTATAGTCGTAACAGGCTGTTGAGGGAAGTGAAGTGCTGTTAGCGGGCACTTATGAAGGCACGGAACTGCACACGAGGGGGTGGATGGCCGGCACAACGCCCGACCGATTTTTTCTCCCGAGTGGCGATGTTTACACATCGCAACAGGTACTTATTTGAGGCTGAGTCGAACTAGGGGGGCCCATAGCCGATTCAGATAATCGTTAATGGTGATAGCCGAGAACGGGAATCGAACTTGGATGACAGGGTTCGCAGCGCAGCGCGCTAACCGCTGCACCACCACTCCCCGCTTCAGGTTCACAGTCACATATTCAAACGCAAATCGAAGCTTTGGTGATTTATTTACTATAGCCTTGTTCACACGTGTCGATTGCAACAAATTAACTTGCTGTTTAAAATTCAAGCACGTAGAGATTATTTATGGGCATGTGTATTCATGTATTACGCTTGTTAATTCAGGAAAGCCTTACGGAGTCTCTTGACTAATTTTTTGCAGGGTCCCGCCACGTATTTACAGTCGGAGCAATGATTGCCGTGTAGATTTGAACTCGAGTAATTTTCGGGTGATATTTGTCAAATGTGGGCAGATTTGGATCGTGACACTGGCACACAATGGCTTACTCTGGCGAATAACATCACTGGATCTTTAACTGCCACCCTGAAGCAGATGGCACGTTGCGTTTTTTACGGTTATTCCACATGCAGTATGGTCGAAGGTAAACCCCATGACCGACACAGTCTCGGGGAAGTCTTTCATCCAGCAGTGGATTGACAAAATTGTCTCTACAGGTACAAATGGTATATCGTCGTTAGGTTGCGCGTTAAATTTCACTCGTGAACATTTTAGTGCACATGTTGTTACGATGACCCAATAAAAAAATAAATCCATTCGACAAATTAGAGGTGAAATTTTGATTTAAAGCTTTCGTGACTGCAGTAATTCATATTCTTAGCTCTTTCGGTAAAGTCACGTTGAAGGGAAACAATAAAATAATAAAATGACTTATCCGAAAGAGCTAAGAATATAAATTAGAGACGACTCGGTGTGTCACAATCACCATCGTCGTGATCATCAGCGCTTCCCCAAAGTCATTTTACGATGTTCCCATAACGCGTTGTGCGAGTAGCTGTCCAATGGAAAAAGGAAGAGAAGGAACAGCGCTGGTTGAGAAACTTAAAGCATCGAGAGAAACTAAGAGCATCGATGTGCTCGAGCGGTTAATGTGGGACCTGTTTGCGTCTTCACGGCACGGCAGTCGATGTGGCCAGGGCCACGCCCTGCCTCCTTTATCCCCACAGCGCTAACGTAAGAAGCACTACAGCATTCGAGGCCAAGTCGACCCATGAGAGTTGCCGTCCGTCATGATTGTCCCACCGTAATAAGCACAGATGTTAGCACACGGTGCTACGAACCTGACAATCTGAGTTCAATTCCCGGCCATAGGTAACGTCAGTGGGGAGTTTTTTTTTAATACAGCCGAACCTGCACTGCCATGTTCCTTCTGCCCCCCCCCCCACCCCCCCATTCACCAGCCTGCATTGACCAGCGCGGTGAAGTATGGTCAGACAACTGACATGACCGACGTGCCGTGGGGGGGGGGGGGGCTTCGTCCAGCAGTGGATTGACTTATGGTTGTCAATTTGAGTTGTACTTACCAGAACGAACAGAAGCCAAGTCGTAGCTGGGCTCAGGCAATCTGGGCTCTCCAAGGCACTGCGCCACTTTTGCAAAGGGATAAGGGGGACGCTGGAGCTGATTCGATAATGAAACACATACTTGGTGCAGCTGCTGCTGCTGCTGCATCCGCAGTGATGCACAAGTACAATCAACGAAAAAAAACTCAACACATTTGCCAATAACACTGTTGCCTTAACAGAAAGCATATATAACATATGTATGGTAACATTTCGGGCGAAGAGGCTTTCTTCATGGGCCATTTTCCTTTGTGAGGCCACAGTGGTATAGACCGATGTATTGAGTCGTTTTCCCCATCGATAATGGAGTAAATTGTGTTTGATGGTATTGAACTCACACCTGTACACGCACCTGCAGCGTGACCTCGTTCAGAACACATCAGGGCGGGGCACACTACACGGTTAATATAAAGGCAGGGAGGGGAGTTGTCAACGCATGTGCCTTTTGTGACTTTGTGACATCTACCCCAGGGTTCAGCCCCTGTGAATGTGAGAAAAAGCTGCGGCCATCGTGTGAGTGACACAGGCTGCTTTTGAAAAAGCTATAGAGCTCGGTGGGCCTCACCTGATAAAATACAAAGTTTAGAATTTCTCGCTCGCATCACTGCTGGCAGAAAGGCCTCCGCTAACGGGAGGTCTAGAGAAGCCCCCACCCCTCACAAGTGGCTGTTTGGCCTACTCATCCATGTCGTCTTGCCGTCTTGGAAGAGATCAACCATATTGAATTTAAACCCACCCGTGCATGCAGTGCCAGATTATCCTCGTAGCAAAAGTATCTGCACAGGCTACGGGCCCCGCACTTTCAAGGGCCCCACGCTAAATGCTTTCAAGCTATCAATTCCGGTTCAGTGATTCTGCACTAACTCTATTACTATAGTACCATACTGCCCTTAACTTTTATGAACGACTGGGTGTTTTAGGTTATTGATTTGTCGTATTATTTGGCTGTATAGAAAATAAAAAAAATACAGACACTTTACTTTGCAAGTTAAAACTGTATGTGTTTTAATGTTTAAGTGTTTTTTATTTTATTTAGGGCCCCTTTATAACATATGCTACAGGCCCCACACTAGCTTAATCCGGCACTGCGTGCATGGGGTTAAATAAAGAGACCCTGCAATGAATAGCTGATGGTGTGAAGTGCAAATGTGCAATGATGAAGGACCAATGCCCAAATCGTCGCCTGTTATAAACATATATTCCCGTTTTAGGCCAGTGCTATAAACGAATGTGGTGAGTTTTTGAATAGCTGATGGTGTGAACTCTTCTTCTTCTTCTTTTGCATAGTAAACCCGTGCAGCTGTAGCGATGGGTGGAACTTGTCGACTGGCGCTGCTGACGGCGCTGGGATTTGCTCTGGCATTCATTCAAGGTGGGTGAAGTCACCACGCAACCCTGTCAACCGTCACTAAATGCTTCGCCTTTGGCTCCAATGAAGCCCCAACAGCATCATGGGCCCAAGGCAATCGCACTGGCTGCTTAAAGACGTTTATAATACCCTCGTTGTTGATACCTCGGGACATAGCAATCTGTTTGTTGTCTTCTTTGAAAAGCACTGTATTTAAAATTGGTGGGTGGTGGCACAAATACTCGTGCTCAACCTGACATGGCTTCTGAGATCTGGCGTTGAGCCATTGGTGCTCATCCCCTGTCTACAGCCCCCAAACCAGTAGTGGGAATTCCACAGTTTTATGGTCGGGGCGGGGGGGGGGGGGGGTCTACACAGACAACTACTGTTGACTTGTCCACAAAGTGGTACTTGATTTATCGACCCCGGATATATGCTGGGCTGGCAGAGTTACCCCCTACCAACCAAAATTTGAACTCGCAACCTTCTACTCGCTCTATCTACCACCCAGCCGCTTGACTGCATCGATGGTCATGTGGTTTTACAACGCACTGTGTGTTTGAAGTCATGAAGTGTCACAAGTCGTCCTCGTTAGACCTGAAATATTAAAGTCAATAAGTGGATTAAAGGAGCGTAGTTTTCCATTGGAGCTTAAAAAACAACTTTTTTCATTTCTTCAAGGGGTGAGACCCCAGATGCCAGTAACTCAGGCATGGCTTTTGTCTGTCGTCAGAACGAGGTAAAGCTAAAGGTGCAGACCTGAAACTGCTGGCTCACACCACTGCTGGCGTAAGAGCTCTAAAAAGCCCCATCTAGTGGGAGCTTTGCCCTACTCTTCCATTCTGGCTAGATGCCAATGGACTAACTGTTAACTAGATGCCAATGGACTAACTGCTGGGCAGACAGAGGCGGAGGGGAGTTTAATAATCTTGCGCCATTGTTTCAACTGCCACTCCGCGATATCGAATAGAACTTGCGACCTCAATTCCAACGTTCTAACCATACCATCACTGTGACTGCATCTTCAGAATACGTCACCACAAACACGCTTGGCTGCTCCAGATGATGAAGTAAAGCATTCACCTTTTTTTCTCCTTTGCATTTGTAGGTTCGCCGCATGTGGCTGGTCAGGTAAATATTTGTTTTATTTTATGCATGGTTCAAATTCATGGACACTCGTATTTTTACATTCACGTTTTTATTTAAAAACATTGCCAAAAAAAATTACTGGCATGCCGAAGACAATCTAATCAATAATCTTGAAAATAGTTTGAACGCGGTACCTATTCCTGTAATGTACAGGCTATCCAAACACACATTACGCCTTATTCATAGATTACCGGTTTTCACTGCGTGGTTGAAAAGTACGCAGCATGTTACTTATACACTCGAGGTGTTTGTTTTTACTGATGGGCGTTAGCGATCTTTGACATCGCACAGCCGAAGCAGTCGAAACTATCGCAGCCGACATGCCAGTCAACTACGTCTTTCAAATGGCGTTAGGAAAAAGCGGAAGCGCTACAATTGCATTGCTAATGTTGAGAAAATAACAATAGGCTTTCGCCTTTCTGGAAATAAGAATAGCTTTCGCCTATGTTCAAACACCAAATATATACCCATTGCAAGGCATCAAGTCTGCATGAACCACACATACTTGTGGCAAAACATACAAAAGAACATGCTCTGATAATATACGCATTGTATTTGAAACTGATTAGCTTACACCAGAGGCAGCATTTTTCATGGCATTGTCTCACCAGTGTTAGACCAGAGAACGCCGAAAGGCGAACAGTGCAAAGGCAATGCAAGTATCAAAAAAGTATTAATAGCTCGGATTTAGCAGTTATATCTATGGGACCTTTTTTCTCATCATTTAACGTAAAGCCTATTATTTTCTCAACACTTTAATACTGCCAAAAATGCCCAATAGATATTGCTAACGTGAGCCATTCCACGGCATCCGGGGTAGTAGCTGAGTTGAATCGACTTGCTCCGCCAGGACACGCGTGTTGTTTTGGGCAGCCCGTCGGTGATGTACGCCTTATGGCTTGCACCTGACCACCGGTGATCAGCGGGGAGTCGCGAATCTCGACGCGACGTGCAGGCGGTCACACGGCGGCGTAGAGGAACGAGGCTTATGCGATCGTCACCGCTGTTAAGATTAAGTGCGTGTGCTGCACTTGCATGTACATGGGGAGTGGTAGTGTAGCGGTCAGCACGCTGCACTCACTACGAACCCCTGTGTCACAAATTCGCCAAAATGGTAAAGCCCTCACTTGCTCCCGGTCTTAAATAGAGCAGCAGGGTGACGTCATCATTTAACTCATTCATTCTTTACCATTCTGGCGAAATGCTGGATGTAATTACCAGCGAAACGTCGTACTCAAATTTTAAATGATGTTGATTCACTCTTCAACACACCGGTGGGCTAAAGTAGTGAACTATTTGTCCTTTGTAAACGTGACACATTTTTTACTGTTTGGCCGTGTCGGGTGGTGGAGGGTTACGACACATTTATAAATAACGCGATCTAACCCAAAAACCTTTATTATGAATCATATAGGTCGCGAAAGCCTACGTGTTAAACTTTAAAATGTTTCTTTTACATTGTTGTTATTATTGCCGTCTAATTTTGTGTTGTCTTTGTTCATATTGCAGAGTTTGGCAGGTATGTGATCTGCTTTTGTTATGTATTAAAACGCAGTCTACACATATCGATGTGCATGTCCTAAACATGTTTAAACGAAATGGCTAGTCCTTCGGGTCAGCATCTGGACATTTTAAATCTCAGCCAATTTCTATTGACGCATCTCTCGGTGCCGTTCTACGTTTCTCTGTGGTTGCCTCTTCTTCCATCCACCAATTATTTGTACTCCACACACATTTGCCTACTAATCTATCATGTTGGGCCAACAACGTTGGTCCAATGGCTTCAATCACGTGCTAATGTTTGCCCAACTTTGCATGTTGACTGGGAGGGCTGGTTGTGGCCTCCTTGGTACAGCGTTGTGTAATCCTCCTGCGTGGGATGTTGTGGTTGTGTCGTTCAGCCCCCCCCCCCTCCAATGGGCTTTCTGCTTGTGCCACCTCCTGTTTGGCACGATGTCGATGTTTTTTTTTTACTTATTACACGGATGATCTCGTTCAGCCAGTTTCCCCGGCTATTTGACACGGGAGAGATCTGCGTTGCGAGTCACAAATAAGAGTGCAATTATTACGCAAGCAAGAGGCGACGTGAAGTTAGGTACAGGTGCACGGACGCTCGATAGTTAAGTCTATCAGTGACACAAACATGTGCGATGTTCTGCTCCACCAGCTGGGAGCTTGATTCAAATAGTCAAGTTCAACAACAACAAAACATCTCCCAGAATGTGGAGCGAAACTGATTTTAATCGCAGGCACTGAGAACCTCTGATGTTGGCTGGCAAATGTTGTTGAAGTGTCTTTGTCGTGGTGTTTTTAGTTTTGTTGCGTTAATTTTAATAGTCACCCTACAAAGTCCTTCACGTGATGTGTTGTAAATATAAATGCGTCGTTAACCCGCCACCACCCCACACAGCCATTTAGTAAGGTTTGTCACGTAAACAAAACATGGCAATTTGTTACAAGTTCGGCACACTGGTGTGTTGGAAAATAAACCCACGACATTTACAATTCGAGTACGACGTTTTGCCAGTAATTACAGCGAGCATCATCAGGCCACAGCTGGGTCCGATGGTGGCGGGTTTAACGACACATTGATATTCATGCAATCAAACCCAAAAACCTCTTATGGATAACATTGCTCGCGAAAGCGTGTTAAAGTGACGTGTTGCCTTTTCCCTTTCCTATTCTCGCAAACAGTTGTCAACTGTACAGGTGTAAATGTGTAAGTGGTTTATTTTTTCTTTTAGCATTCAAGACATGCATGAACACAATTGTTTCGTGTTATATTTACAATACAACGTGCTAATTGCGATGCCGATATCAACGATGGAAATCGGTTTCAACGTTAACAATTGTTGTTGTCGCCGTGTGTGTGTGTGTCTATATGTATGTATAAAGGACTGAGCTGGGCAATGCGCTGTTGGGCGTAAATATCACCGCTGCACAGCTGGAAAATTTCACAGCAGAAGAGTTCGCCTGCTTGAACGTAAGTCCCAGGTGTTGTATTCGGAGAAGGTAAAAGGTGCAGCCACTGTAATTGCTTATACTCGGCGGCCCCTGCTGGCAGAAGGGCCTCCATGAGAGGGAGCTCGAGAGTAGCCCCTCTTAATGAGAGGGCTTTAGGCCTACTCTTCCACGATGGCCAGACGCCTCGTGAGAGGTGGGAGTAAACTGCACCTTACCCTACCTAACCCCCACCAGACGCAAACTGTCGATGGACCAGGTTGCGGCGTACCCATATATACTGCTGCTTGTACACAATGTAATGATATTTTACTTGTACGTCCATCTACGATGTATGCAAACAAAAAGTTGATGTTGTTTTTAAACTCCAATTGCAGTGATGTACAAAACACACGCAAAACAATGTCATCACATTCTTCAATAGCATTGCCCTAAAGAAGAACAAAATAACACGTAAAAAAATGTTTTCATTGTACTCTATATGATTTTCACTTTCGAGAGAAGAGTGAATTGATGAAAATAAGTTTTCGTTATTCGTAGCGAACCGTGCTAATTGCACACACAGGATGTGGTCAAGTAATCCCCGTGGCCTGCATGGCATGGGGAATCCCTCTTCCAGAAGTGGATTGACAGAAGGGCTGTACTTTAACAGTTCTACATTAAATTGTTAGCCAATATATAACCCACAATCCACCAAGATGCCACAAGGTATTAAATAAATATATATACCAGCCTTGCATCTGTATTTATTTTGCATTATCTGGTAGATCGCAGTTACTGAACACTTTCAAAGTGTTCATTCTCAGTTTGTCATCCAAATGTTAACCAATTTCATAGCGAAACAAATACAAATGAGTGCTCACTTACACACGTGGCCTCACAAGACATTAAATCTGGCTTGGGGCCAAGCAGGGCCAAGGGGCGGGACTAATTGTGTAGTCAATGCGCGCGACTTCAGTACAGTGTGAGGTCACGGTGTTATCTCCGCTCGTCTCGACTTGTCTATTGCGTGTGACACTCGTGTCACGGAGCGGCTACTGCAGTGGAAAATAATACAACCTGCTAGGCTGGCCTGGTACGGCTTGGCAGGGTTCGGTTGTGGGTGGGGCTGGCGGTAAAGAGATGTTTGATCGCACGTCGCTCGTGTTCGGTGTGCAGGATTCTACACTGTCCCTTATCCCGGCCGACCAGCTCGCTCAGCTCTACATGTCAAAGTTTCTAAACAGCACTATTGTCAGTCGATCGGTGACGCTCAACTTGAGAAATCTCACCCTGCTGGGCAACGTTCTGGATGGGATCAACAAGGTGTGTGGCCTCCACTCTGCACCCAATCTCCCCATGTTCCCCTGCTTGATGTGCACACACTGTTACTTCGCTTCATCGGTCCCATAACTGCGTCCGCCTGGTGGAAAAGGTTTCATCCATGATGGTGTCTACCTCTCCTCTCGCATCACACTCTACTCCCTTCCACACACTCCCCTACCTAACGCTCCACTCTCATCTCATTCCACTCCCCTTCACACACTCTCCTGCCTCTCCCCTCTCATCTCAACCTAAAACGGGTGGGAAAGTGCTGCACCCTACGATCATGTGGACCAGAGATCACTTAAGGCGTATACGAGTTATACGTATAAGAGTTATACGTATAAGAGTTAGGTCTGTGATGTCCACTTTTGTGGGACATTCTCTAACAGGCAGTGTGCACCTTTCTCTGTGAGGAATCTGAATGCATACTTTATCTCATTACATGATACCGAGCGGACAATTGAGATTAAATTGTGAGAAAATTTTAATGTAAAAATGTAAATACTTCTGTAGGAAATGGATATTCCACTGTGAATGCATTTTTTTTAGAAAATGTATATCTGTATGTGTGTATGGGTTTTGAGGAGCGAGAATCAGCGATGCAGCGGTCCAGACAATACCACCTGTTAATGTGCTCTGCCGGTCTGAAAAAGTGCTTGCTCTACATCGCTTGCCTTTGTATTTGTGCATATGTGTGCATGTGCATGCATATGCACGTGGAGAGTGGGTAGTATAGTGGTTGGTGCACTATGCTCTGAACCTGGCACCTTGAGTTCAATGCCCCGCCACAGCTAACATCTAAGCTTGTCCTGGTTCCCCCTGAGTTGCCTCAGCCCTAAACGAGTACCTGGTGCAGTGCGCAACCATCAGCAACACAACCGACTCGTACGCTGTACTGGCCTTCGTATGCATTGCTCGCGAACAGCACTTGCCCCAGCAGCCTGTGTAGGTTACACGGGGGAGCTTTGTCCGGTGTGTTTGCGTGTGTTTGCGCACAGACAATTTCAGCCGACGTGAGGACGGTCATGATGACCACCATCTGGGACACCCTGAAGCCGTCTCTTGCGACTTTGTCGGATGCCGAGGGAACAAAGTGGTTTCAAACGCGACTCGTCCCTTTTCTCCCGTCCATCACCGCGGTGGAGATAGCAGACATCCCCATCAACGTGTCCTGCGTCAACTTCATCACAATGTGCGTGCGCGCAAATAACAGCCCCGCGTCCGTTAACGGCAACATCCTCACGCACCAGATTCACAGCAAACATGCCTGTCGTTACTGGCACCGCGAAACGTGTCGCTCGGTGCTGTTTAAAGGCAGGAAAAGAGTGGAGAAATTAACATTCGTGACATTTAGTTGGCAATCCACTGCTGGATGAAGACTTCTTCGCGCTGTGTCAGCCATGGGGTTGTTTAGTGGACAGAACAGATTGGTGGCGTGTGTGTGTGTGTGGGGGGGTTGCCCAGCAATGGATAAGATATCACTGGCCACTGATGCTAGCCATGGCTGAGAGCATTTAACTCAGGTTACCAAGTTCATAGTGTGGTACACTAACCAGTGTGCCACAGCCACCCCACCGCTTACCAACCCCCCCCCCCCCCACAAGGCATAAACATTATAATTAAAATCATATCGACGCGATGAAAATATTGGAGCTGGAGAATCTTGGATTGGATACTTTTGCAATGTGATCTGGATCACGGTCAGCTTGTGGTGATGGGCTCCCACTAAACCCAATCCGTGCACCCCTACGCATTACATTAATGCTCATTTAATATCTGCTAGAATTGTATACAATTAATGCTGTAAATTTCCCCGGTCACTGCATTGCGTGCTTTCAGATACGCTTCTGTGGCCGTCTGGAACACTCTTCCTTCTGATATGAGGAAGCTACTGGAGCTATGCACTTTTAAATCTAGATTGAAAACTACTTTCTTTAGAACGATTGTGTTGTCATCAGACGAAGAATCCATTCAGATCTCTCACGGTTGCAATGCAACGTTTTGTGTTGCAGAACAACCCACGAAAGCACATATCACAGAGCTACCTCTGAGATGCCTTCAAATGACTTCTAGTTCACACAGTAGAGGGCACCATTTCCCACCTGCTCTGCCAATGATAATGATATTCAAACGACTGTCAAGCTGATATTTAATTCTCACGAATTGGAATTAGACAACATTCGTTCAGAAACAAATATATTGTTATCAGTTGTTTTTGTACAGTGACTGGGCCGAGACCATCATCTCATTGCACTTGATAATCAAGTTTAATTACGAGCGACTGGCTGGATTTGATTCCCAGGATGTCAGCGATGTCGACTAAATCCTATCACATCTGAGCTATGCGGTCACCTCATGAAAATTAACTTCGTTTCATATTCACTATATATTTTTCAAAAGAGTGTAATATTTTTTTTGTCAAAACACAAACACAGTGTAAACGTATGCAACAAAGTATCGGTGTATCGTTGTTCTTGTTGCACAGGTCACAGAGTCTGAGTGGAGTTTATGGAACTATAAGTAAAGATATCCAACTTGCTGCACTGAATAAAATCAACAATTTCCTTGTCGCAGGTGGGTCAAATGCTTAATTTACATCTTTTAAAAATGAGCTGATACATCCATAACTTTTTGTACCACATTTTCCTGAAATGACAATGCTGAACCTGATGCCATCTTGACAATTCCCACAGATGTGACAATGATGAACAAGAACTGCACACAGAACATCAACAGCTCCACGCTGCTCAACACATATTTTGGAAAATTCAGTGCCCTTGCCAATTATTCTGACTTTGAAGTTTCCCCAGCTTTTAAAGGCGTAAGTAATGTAACACACCACATGCGTAAACCGTCCACATTCAAACAAAACTGATTTAATTCAATGTTAGCGTTAAGGAAAGTAACTATTTGCATTGTGGTTTTTGACTTTGGAAATGTGATGGATTTAATTTTTCAAACACGGCCCATTCTGTACATCGTAATAACGCCTACCAAAATAGGAAAATACCTGCAGACTTGTAACAAAGAAAAATAACATAATGCAAAGGTGTTCTCACAAACACCTCTAGTTTTAGTTGGTGGTCTAGACAAGGCTGAGAGCATTTTACATCAAGACTAGTGATCACATGATTTGCACTCAAGGTGGATACACCTTTACACGTTATTTGTTTTTGTTAATTGATCACAAGTTAATCACTCCACATGGAATGATCCCTCCTCCACCAAAACCTCCTCAATCCTGGGATTTGATGAATTTTCATCATTTTGGGAACAATTACAATTATTTAATACTCTTTGGTTCTTTCGGTAAAGTAACATAGGTATAAAATAAAATAAATCACGACGTTTCGGGCGCAACACAAGCGTTGGTCATCAGGTGTTGCGCCCGAAACGTCGTGATTTATTTTATTTTCTACCTACGTTACTTTACCGAAAGAACCAAAGAGTATGGATTACTGCAGTCACGAAAGTTTCAAATCAATTCTTTAATACTTTTTTTTCTTGTGGCATTTTGCTCCGTTAGTCATTTGGATTATTTTAATTTGAAGTCTTATTTTCCTCAACTGTTTCACATGCATAAAATCAACATTGGTGTATACATTTCATACAATTGTTGAAACTCGTAAAGTGTGAATTCTTGGACGTGTGACTTAAGCACGTATTGCGAGTGTGCAACTGATCTCCTTACGGTTTCTCCCAATGGCTCTAGGCTGAAGTCCTGAACCTTCTTACCCCTGCACAACTGGCGGACTACGCTGCCAAGCCCAACGTGCAGAATAACGCTACCCTGCTGTCAGCGATCTTCCTCAACATCAACGGCATCGACAACATGGCAACATTCGTGGATCGCTTTGACGTTGTGGTAAGTGCGTCAGGACGCGCGTTCGAATTATAGTGTGGTACTGTAGAAGCTGGACACACTGGCATTGTTGACCAGAGGTCACCAGTTTGACCCCCTGTTAAAGGTTGGTAATTTATTTGCTTATCTTGTAGTCCTATGATGGATTTCTTCCGTATATTAAGCTGAAGTACTTCATGTCATCGTCAAAGACTCCCCACTGATGAGCAAAATGACTCCCAGATTTTTTTTCGTTTCTGCTTTTCCACAGTTGTACCTGTCCAGTAGTGGCCTCCGAACTCTTTATAAGGCAGCGATGATGAGGAATGTGGCGAGTTGCTTTTACGTGAATTCAAGCGAGGCGTTGTTCTTGTCATCCACAGGCAAACAAGTCGTTTGAGGCCCCTGCCAGGGCCGTGGTGATGGCCGGCGTGTGGACAAAGCTGGGGCCTTCGCTGGCCGCTATGCCCGACGCGGATGTGTCCACGTGGTTCAATCAAAGGCTGTCCCCCCTCATACTGCCGGGCATCACTGCTGAGATGGTGGCCAATATTACCACGGGACTCAACTGCACTGCGTTTGTGAGCATGTGAGTGTTCTATGCGTCACGCAGTCACTATTTTCGCAAGGTGGCATATTCATGGATCATTGTGTTAGCTGTGAATTTGGGTTGGACCGCATGTTATCCGACTTTTCAACACCATGTGCTGGCCACTTTTTCAGGAACTTAACGGAACATGTCATATTGTCTTGATAATTTTTATCGTAGAAATTAAAAGATCCTTCATAACAGATTGAGGGTGGTATTCCAAGATGTTTGGCAGTTCTAATGGCTCAAGCGTTTTCATACAATGTTCTTTACATTTTGCATAACTAGAATATATTTTGTATCAGTGTGCACATTCGCTGTGAAACTGTTTAACAGCGTACATTAATGCATCAGTACTCTATGAAATAGCATTGACAGAACAAAGTGGCATCTGAACCATCACAGGATGCCCATTCAACAGAGCCTAACAGCTTATTGGGCACTTCCTGCTGAGATGAATGAAATAAATTTTGATTTCTTACCTAAAAATAACATACAGTACGTCATTATATTTCCGTTAAAATATAAGAAATCAATATAAATGTAGATTACATTTCGCTCATCTCCATCTGTGTAACGTCTACATAAATACACAACATAACATTTTCCTTCATATTTGATTCAATTACTTGACTATTTTATAATCTTAAACAAAATATTCTTGCGTGTTGTTCTTGTTGCACAGCTCGCAGAGTCTGAGTGGAGTTTATGGAACTATAAGTAAAGATATCCAACTTGCTGCACTGAATAAAATCAACAATTTCCTTGTCGCAGGTGGGTCAAATGCTTAATTTACATCTTTTAAAAATGAGCTGATACATCCATGACTATTACACGCTTTCTTTTCACTCACTGTCTGTTGTTGTTGTATCCTCAAATCTTGTAACTCAATTTTAAACCACTTTCCAATGTGGTATCGACTGCAAACTTGGTATACTTATGTCATACTGATGACAATTCTATATTCCATCATAAAAAAATAGATATTTTTCAACAATCTTTTGTATATGTTATGTTTCGGCTTGGGTCTAATTGTCCACGATCAACTCACGTTGGCTGTAATTGCCCACGGTCCCCTTACGTTGTGGCAAGCTTCGGTGACACTTCCTGGAGTCGTGGAGTTCTGCCATTACTAGTACGGTACATTTCATAACAGCGTTTTTAAAAAAAGTTTTTTTTAGAAATATTACTTATTTATACTGTACCTCATTTCAATGAAATTACAACAATGAACCCGATGCCATCTTGTGAATTCCCACAGATGTGACAATGATGAACAAGAACTGCACACAGAACATCAACAGCTCCACGCTGCTCAACACATATTTTGGAAAATTCAGTGCCCTTGCCAATTATTCTGACTTTGAAGTTTTCCCAGCTTTTAAAGGCGTAAGTAATGTCACACACAACATGCGTAAACCGTCCACGTGTTGAAACAAAACCGATTTCATTCAATGTTAGCGTTAAGCAAAGGAACTATTTGCATGATTGTTCTTGACTTTGGGAATGTGATGAGTTACATTTTTCAAACGCAGATCTTTTGTGTACATCGTGATAACAACTATCAAAATAGGAAAATACCTGCAGACTTGTAACAAAGAAAAAAACATAATGCAAAGGTGTTCTCACAAACACCTCTAGTTTTAGTTGGTGGTCTAGACAAGGCTGAGAGCATTTTACATTAAAACTAGTGATCACGTGACTTGCACTCGGTGGATACACCTTTACACGTTTCTTTTGTTTGTTAATTGATAGCAAGTTAATCACTCCACATGGAATGATCCCTCCTCCACCAAAACCTCCTCAATTCTGGGATTTGATTAATTTTCATCATTTTTGGAACAAGTTACACTTCTTTAATCATCTTTTTTCTCGCGGCATTTCGCTCAGTCAGTCATTTTGATTTTTTAATTTCAAGTCTAATTTTCCTAAATGGTTTCATTTGCATAAAATCAACATTGGTGTATACATTTCATACAATTGTTGAAACTCGTAAAGTGTGAATTCTTGGACGTGTGACTTAAGCACGTAGTGCGAGTGTGAAACTGATCTCCTTACGGTTTCTCCCAATGGCTCTAGGCTGAAGTCCTGAACCTTCTTTCCCCTGCACAACTGGCGGAATACGCTGCCAAGCCCAACGTGCAGAATAACGTTACCCTGCTGTCAGCGATCTTCCCCAACATCAACAGCATCGACAACATGGCAACATTCGTGGATCGCTTTGACGTTGTGGTAAGTGCGTCAGGACGCGCGTTAGAATTATAGTGTGGTACTGTAGAAGCTGGACACACTGGCATTGTTGACCAGAGGTCACCAGTTTGACCCCCGGTTGAAACACAATTAAAGGTTGGTAATTTATTTGCTTATCTTGTAGTCCTCTCATGGATTTCTTCCGTATATTAAGCTGAAGTACTTCATGTCATCGTCAAAGACTCCCCACTGATGAGCAAAATGACTCCCAGATTTTTTTCGTTTCTGCTTTTCCACAGCTGTACCTGTCCAGTAGTGGCCTCCAAACTCTTTATAAGGCAGCGATGATGAGGAATGTGGCGAGTTGTTTTTACGTGAATTCAAGCGAGGCGTTGTTCTTGTCAACCACAGGCAAACAAGTCGTTTGAGGCCCCTGCCCAGGCCGCGGTGATGGCCGGCGTGTGGACAAAGCTGGGGCCTTCGCTGGCCGCTATGCCCGACGCGGATGTGTCCACGTGGTTCAATCAAAGGCTGTCCCCTCTCATCCTGCCGGGCATCACTGCTGAGATGGTGGCCAATATTACCACGGGACTCAACTGCACTGCGTTTGCGAGCATGTGAGTGTCCTATGTGTCACGCAGTCACTTGTTTCGCAAGGTGGCATATTCATGGATCATTGTGTTAGCTGTGAATTTGGGTTGGACCGTATGTGGTTCGGAATGATGTCCGACGTTTCAACACCATGTGCTGGCCGCTTTTTCAGGAACTTAACGGAACATCTCATATTGTCTTGAAAATTTTTATCGCAGAAATTAAAAGATCCTTCATAACAGATTGAGGGTGGTTTTCCAAGATGTTTGGCAGTTCTAATGGCTCACGCGTTTTCATACAATGTTCTTTACATTTTGCATAACTGGAATATATTTTGTATCAGTGTGCACATTCGCTGTGAAATTGTTTAATAGCATACATTAATGCATCAGTACTCTATGAAATAGCATTGACAGAACAAAGTGGCATCTGAACCATCACAGGATGCCCATTAAACAGAGCCTAACAGCTTATTGGGCACTTCCTGCTGAGATGAATAAAAAAAATTCAGATTTCTTACCTAAAAAGAACATACAGTACGTCATTAGATTTCCATTAAAATATGAGAAATCAATATAAATGTAGATTACATTTCGCTCATCTCCATCTGTGTAACGTCTACATAAATACACAACATAACATTTTCCTTCATATTTGATTCAATTACTTGACTATTTTATAATCTTAAACAAAATATTCTTGCGTGTTGTTCTTGTTGCACAGCTCGCAGAGTCTGAGTGGAGTTTATGGAACTATAAGTAAAGATATCCAACTTGCTGCACTGAATAAAATCAACAATTTCCTTGTCGCAGGTGGGTCAAATGCTTAATTTACATCTTTTAAAAATGAGCTGATACATCCATGACTATTACACGCTTTCTTTTCACTCACTGTCTGTTGTTGTTGTATCCTCAAATCTTGTAACTCAATTTTAAACCACTTTCCAATGTGGTATCGACTGCAAACTTGGTATACTTATGTCATACTGATGACAATTCTATATTCCATCATAAAAAAATAGATATTTTTCAACAATCTTTTGTATATGTTATGTTTCGGCTTGGGTCTAATTGTCCACGATCAACTCACGTTGGCTGTAATTGCCCACGGTCCCCTTACGTTGTGGCAAGCTTCGGTGACACTTCCTGGAGTCGTGGAGTTCTGCCATTACTAGTACGGTACATTTCATAACAGCGTGTTTAAAAAAAGTTTTTTTAGAAATATTACTTATTTATACTGTACCTCATTTCAATGAAATTACAACAATGAACCCGATGCCATCTTGTGAATTCCCACAGATGTGACAATGATGAACAAGAACTGCACACAGAACATCAACAGCTCCACGCTGCTCAACACATATTTTGGAAAATTCAGTGCCCTTGCCAATTATTCTGACTTTGAAGTTTTCCCAGCTTTTAAAGGCGTAAGTAATGTCACACACAACATGCGTAAACCATCCACGTGTTGAAACAAAACCGATTTCATTCAATGTTAGCGTTAAGCAAAGGAACTATTTGCATGATTGTTCTTGACTTTGGGAATGTGATGAGTTACATTTTTCAAACGCAGATCTTTTGTGTACATCGTGATAACAACTATCAAAATAGGAAAATACCTGCAGACTTGTAACAAAGAAAAAACACATAATGCAAAGGTGTTCTCACAAACACCTCTAGTTTTAGTTGGTGGTCTAGACAAGGCTGAGAGCATTTTACATTAAAACTAGTGATCACATGACTTGCACTCGGTGGATACACCTTTACACGTTTCTTTTGTTTGTTAATTGATAGCAAGTTAATCACTCCACATGGAATGATCCCTCCTCCACCAAAACCTCCTCAATTCTGGGATTTGATTAATTTTCATCATTTTGGAACAAGTCACACTTCTTTAATCATCTTTTTTCTCGCGGCATTTCGCTCAGTCAGTCATTTTGATTGTTTTAATTTAATGTCTAATTTTCCTAAATTGTTTCACTTGCATAAAATCAACATTGGTGTATACATTTCATACAATTTTTGAAACTCGTAAAGTGTGAATTCTTGGACGTGTGACTTAAGCACGTAGTGCGAGTGTGCAACTGATCTCCTTACGGTCTCTCCCAATGGCTCTAGGCTGAAGTCCTGAACCTTCTTTCCCCTGCACAACTGGCGGACTACGCTGCCAAGCCCAACGTGCAGAATAACGCTACCCTGCTGTCAGCGATCTTCCCCAACATTAACGGCATCGACAACATGGCAACATTCGTGGATCGCTTTGACGTTGTGGTAAGTGCGTCAGGACGCGCGTTCGAATTATAGTGTGGTACTGTAGAAGCTGGACACACTGGCATTGTTGCCCAGAGGTCACCAGTTTGACCCCCTGTTGAAACACGATTAAAGGTTGGTAATTTATTTGCTTATCTTGTAGTCCTCTGATGGATTTATTCCGTATATTAAGCTGAAGTATTTCATGTCATCGTCAAAGACTCCCCACTAATGAGCAAAATGACTCCCAGATTTTTTTTCGTTTCTGCTTTTCCACAGCTGTACCTGTCCAGTAGTGGCCTCCAAACTCTTTATAAGGCAGCGATGATGAGGAATGTGGCGAGTTGTTTTTACGTGAATTCAAGCGTGGCGTTGTTCTTGTCACCCACAGGCAAACAAGTCGTTTGAGGCCCCTGCCAGGGCCGTGGTGATGGCCGGTGTGTGGACAAAGCTGGGGCCTTCGCTGTCCGCTATGCCTGACGCCGATGTGTCCACGTGGTTCAATCAAAGGCTGTCCCCTCTCATCCTGCCGGGCATCACCGCTGGCATGGTGGGCAACATTTCCACGGGACTCAACTGCACTGCGTTTACAAGCATGTGAGTGTCTTATGTGCTATGCAGTCACTTGTGTGGCAAGGTGGAATATTAATGGATCATTGTGTTAGCTCTGTCATGTGAATCTGGGTTGGACCTCTTGTTGTTTGCAAGGATGTCCGACGTTTCAACACCACGTGCTGGCAGCTTCTTCAGGAACTGCATGGAGCATCTCAAATTCTCATAAAAATTAACACAGTAATTAAAAACAATTATTATTGACAGACCAAGGATGATGTTCCAAGATGGTAGTGAGTGTCAATGGCTCGCATGTTTTCATATCATGTTCTCTGCATTTTGCATAACTTTAAAATATTTTGTATCAATGTGAAAATTTTCTGTGAAACTGTATTATTGCATATGTTAATGCATCAGTACTCTCTGAAATAGCATTCGCAGCACAAGGTAGCATCTGTACCATCACAGGGTGCCCATTAAACAGAGTCTAACAGCTTTTTGGGCACTTCCTGCTGAGATGAATAAATGCATATTGATTGCTCACCCATAAAGAACATACAGTACGTTTTCATATTGACATTAAAATATAAGAAATCAATATAAATGTAGATTACATTTCGCTCATCTCCATCTGTGTCACACCTTTAAATAAATATACGATGTAAAATTTTGTTTAATTTGCCCGTGTTTTATCGTCTAAGTCAAAATATTCTTGCTTGTTGTTCTTGTTGCACAGCTCGCAGAGTCTGAGTGGAGTTTATGGAACTATAAGTAAAGATACCCAACTTGCTGCACTGAATAAAATCAACAATTTCCTTGTCGCAGGTGGGTCAAATGCTTCATTTACATCTTTTAAAAATGAGCTGAAACGACCATGACTTTTTGTACCGCATTATCCTGAAATGACAATACTGAACCCGATGCCATCTTGACAATTCCCACAGATGTGACAATGATGAACAAGAACTGCACACAGAACATCAACAGCTCCACGCTGCTCAACACATATTTTGGAAAATTCAGTGCCCTTGCCAATTATTCTGACTTTGAAGTTTTCCCAGCTTTTAAAGGCGTAAGTAATGTCACACACCGCATGTGTAAACCGTCCACGTGTTCAAACAAAAGCGATTTCATTCAATGTCAGCGTTAAGGAAAGTAACTATTTGCATTGTGGTTTTTGACTTTGGAAATGTGGTGGATTTAATTTTTCAAACACAGCCCATTCTGTACATCGTAAGAACGCCTATCAAAATAGGAAAATACCTGCAGACTTGTAACAAAGAAAAATAACATAATGCAAATGTATTTTCACAAACACCTCTTTTTTTAGTTGGTGGTCTAGACAAGGCTGAGAGCATTTCACATTAAATCTAGTGATCACATGACTTGCACTCAAGGTGGATACACCTTTACACGTTATTTGTTTTTGTTAATTGATTGCAATTTAATCACTCCGTATGGAATGATCTCTCCTCCAATGCAACCTCCTCAATCCTGGGATTTGATGAATTTTCATCATTTTGGGAACAAGTAACAATTCTTTAATATTTGTTTTGTTTTCTCATGGCATTTCGCTCCATCAGTAATGGTGATTGTTTTAATTTAAAGTCTAATTTTCCTCAAGTGCTTTATTTGCATTAAAGCAACATTGCCGCATACATTTAATACAATTGGTGAAACTCGTATAGTGTGACTTAAGTACGTAGTGCGAGTGTGCAACTGATCTCCTTACGGTTTCTCCCAATGGCTCTAGGCTGAAGTCCTGAACCTTCTTTCCCCTGCACAACTGGCGGACTACGCTGCCAAGCCCAACGTGCAGAATAACGTTACTCTGCTGTCAGCGATCTTCCCCAACATCAACAGTATCGATAACATGGCAACATTCGTGGATCGCTTTGACGTTGTGGTAAGTGCGTCAGGACGCGCGTTCGAATTATAGTGTGATACTGTTGGACACACTGGCATTGTTGACCAGAGGTCACCAGTTTGACCCCCGGTTGAAACACAATTAAAGGTTGGTAATTTATTTGCTTATCTTGTAGTCCTCTGATGGATTTCTCCTGTATATTAGGCCGAAGCATTTCATGTCATCGTCAAAGACTCCCCACTGATGAGCAAAATGACTCCCAGATTTTTTTTCATTCCTGCTTTTCCACAGCTGTACCTGTCCAGTAGTGGCCTCTGAACTCTTTATAAGGCAGCAATGATGAGGAATGTGGCGAGTTATTTTTACGTGAATTCAAGCGAGGCGTTGTTCTTGTCATCCACAGGCAAACAAGTCGTTTGAGGCCCCTGCCAGGGCCGTGGTGATGGCCAGTGTGTGGACAAAGCTGGGGCCTTCGCTGGCCGCTATGCCCGACGCGGATGTGTCCACGTGGTTCAATCAAAGGCTGTCCCCCCTCATCCTTCCGGGCATCACTGCTGAGATGGTGGCCAATATTACCACGGGACTCAACTGCACTGCGTTTGCGAGCATGTGAGCGTTCTATGCGTTACGCAGTCACTTGTTTCGCAAGGTGGCATATTCATGGATCATTGTGTTAGCTCTGTCATGTGAATTTGGGTTGGACCGCATGTTGTTCGGAATGATGTCCGACGTTTCAACACCACGTGCTGGCTGCTTTTTCAGGAACTTAACGGAACATCTCATATTGTCTTTAAATTTTTTTATCGCAGAAATTAAAAGATCCTTCATAACAGATTGAGGGTGGTATTCCAAGATGTTTGGCAGTTCTAATGGCTCACGCATTTTCATGCAATGTTCATTATATTTTGCATAACTTTAGAATCTTTTGTATCAGTGTGCACATTAGCTGTGAAACTGTATTATAGCGTACATTAATGCATCAGTACTCTATGAAATAGCATTCACAGAACAAAGTGGCATCTGAACCATCACAGGGTGCCCATTCAACAGAGCCTAACAGCTTATTGGGCACTTCCTGCTGAGATGAATAAAATAAATATAGATTTCTTACCTAAAAAGAACATACAGTACGTCATTATATTTCCTATAAGATATAAGAAATCAATATCTGTGTAACGTCTACATAAATACACAACGTAACATTTTACTTCATATTTGATTCAATTACTTGACTATTTGATAATCTAAGTCAAAATACTCTTGCTTGTTGTTCTTGTTGTACAGCTCTCAGAGTCTGAGTGGAGTTTATGGAACTATAAGTAAAGATATCCAACTTGCTGCACTGAATAAAATCAACAATTTCCTTGTCGCAGGTGGGTCAAATGCTTAATTTACATCCTTTAAAAATGAGCTGATACATCCATGACTTTTTGTACCGCATTTTCCTGAAATGACAGTACTGAACCTGATGCCATCTTGACAATTCCCACAGATGTGACAATGATGAACAAGAACTGCACACAGAACATCAACAGCTCCACGCTGCTCAACACATATTTTGGAAAATTCAGTGCCCTTGCCAATTATTCTGACTTTGAAGTTTTCCCAGCTTTTAAAGGCGTAAGTAATGTCACACACCGCATGCGTAAACCGTCCACGTATTTAAACAAAACTGATTTCATTCAATGTTAGCGTTAAGGAAAGCAACTATTTGCATTGTGGTTTTTGAATTTAGGAATGCGATGCGTTTAATTTTTCAAACACAGATCTTTTGTGTACAATGTGATAACAACTATCAAAATAGGAAAATACCTGCAGACTTGTAACAAAGAAAAAACACATCATGCAAAGGTATTCTCACAAACACCTCTAGTTTTAGTTGGTGGTCTAGACAAGGCTGAGAGTATTTTACATTAAAACTGGTGATCACATGACTTCCACTCGGTGGATACACCTTTACACGTTATTTGTTTTTGTTAATTGATCGCAAGTTAATCACTCCATATGGAATGATCCCTCCTCCACCAAAACCTCCTCAATCCTGGGATTTGATGAATTTTCATCATTTTGGGAACAAGTTACAATTCTTTAATAATTGTTTTGTTTTCTCGTGGCATTTCGTTCCGTCAATCATTTTCATTGTTTTAATTTAAAGTCTAATTTTCCTCAATTGCTTCATTTGCATAAAAGCAACATTGGCGCATACAATTGTTGAAACTCGTAAAGTGTGAATTCTTGGACGTGTGACTTAAGCACGTAGTGCGAGTGTGCAACTGATCTCATGACTGTTTCTCCCAATGGCTCTAGGCTGAAGTCCTGAACCTTCTTTCCCCTGCACAACTGGCGGACTACGCTGCCAAGCCCAACGTGCAGAATAACGCTACCCTGCTGTCGGCGATCTTCCCCAACATCAACGGCATCGACAACATGGCAACATTCGTGGATCGCTTTAACGTTGTGGTAAGTGCGTCAGGACGCGCATTAGAATTATAGTGTGGTACTGTAGAAGCTGGACACACTGGCATTGTTGACCAGAGGTCACCAGTTTGACCCCCTCTTGAAACACATTTAATCCATTGGTTATTCACTAGCTTGCCTTGATTAAATATTAATCTAAATTATAGTACTCTGATAGATTTATCCTGTACATTAGGCTGAAGCATTTCATGTCCTCGTCATTGACTCCCCACTGATGTGCAAAATGACTCCTGGATTGTCTTCCTTTCCTGCCTTTCCATAGTTGTTCCTGTCCTGTAGTGGCTTCCGAACTCTTTATAAGGCAGCGATGATGAGGAATGTGGCGAGTTGTTTTTACGTGAATTCAAGCGAGGCGTTGTTCTTGTCAACCACAGGCAAACAAGTCGTTTGAGGCCCCTGCCCAGGCCGCGGTGATGGCCGGCGTGTGGACAAAGCTGGGGCCTTCACTGGCCGCTATGCCCGACGCGGATGTGTCCACGTGGTTCAATCAAAGGCTGTCTCCTCTCATCCTGCCGGGCATCACTCCTGACATTTTGGCCACCTTTCCCACGCAGTTCAACTGCACCGTGTTCGCGAGCATGTGAGTTTCCAACGAGTTAGAGTGACTTCTCTTCCTAGTCCTGTGCACCGGTTCACAAGTACAAGCAGTTGTTATACTCGTGGACTATTGGTTTGAATTAATTTGGAGTAGATAAAAATAACATGAAACCTGAAAAGTTATTTTGATCAACATGTTAGACTAGGATTTTATTACCAGATGTTACGCCAAGATTTTCACAAGCTTTCACCAGAAGGTGATTTGCATGCTTTTAATGTACTGATGCTCCCGTGCTGTTGTGGTTAGCACTCTGGACTTGCAATCCAGAGTTCTAAGGGTTCGATTTCCTGCCACGGCAGTTGAAGTAATCGTGCAAAGTTCTTAAATCCGTTTTCCTACAGTCACCCGACACAATAATCGGCAAACCACAGTTAGCCAATCGGCAGGTTGTATTAGGTGTGGTGATGTAAAGTGTGTGTACTCCTAAGTATTCTAAGACATCGTATCAGCATCGAAGAGTAGGTCAAAATACTTTTAATAGGGGTCTGAACAAGCAATTTTAGGGCTTCATGAAATGTTACAAAAAATGTAATTGTTAATTTCCTCCTTTTTACTCGGTCGCACATATGCTGTGAAAGTACTGTATATTATAATATATTAATGCATCAGTACTTTTAGTATATATAAGTGTGTATCAATGCATCAGTACTCTTGATCAGCGTAAAATATTGGAGGGTTGGGTATTGGTGCAGCGGTTAGCACACTGCTGTATACATCCGACGAACGGCATTAAATTTCCCGCAAACTTAAGACATTTGTGTCTAATAACCTTTGTGATTGACACTGCTTGGGAAGGCCTTCATAAAGCGGTAGGTTGTCAAAAGGGCTATACATTATCATTATATAATAATGATATGATATTGTTAATAATAATAATACTGTGGCCGAAAGTGAATTAAAAAACTGTTCATAATTTGTCGTGTGATAAACTCTTGCGAGAGAGTGTCCATTTAAGCAACACATCTGTGCGCGTGTGTTCTCTTTTCCGAATCAGTGTTGGAAGTCTGGATAGTGTCTCGATCTCCAACGAGTCAAAGGTCTCAACGTACAAATGGATAATCAAATATTTGTCATCGAATGGTAAATCCGCAGCGCAAAGACATTAATTCCACTTACACCACCGGGAAGCAAGCAGTGTGTGTCAGAGAAACCTCCGAGAACTTTGGAATATAAACCACCTCGCCCTGTTTAGCAGCTGTCATTGATCATATCAGAAGACTGACAAGTAGCAAACCATGTTGACCAAGCAAACGTGGTTTGAGCGTCTTACAAAGTTTTCTATTCTTTTGTTATTTACTTACAATATATCCCTTGAGATGGAACATGTGGGTTTGAATTGAATTGTACATTTAATAACCGATGGTTGTCCGTACATATACCTTGTAGGTAATGGGTTACTTTGACCCCTGCTGCCATTAGAGGGTTATATTCCACCTATAACTGCCTGCCTTTCTTTATAAAATATATGTACACTGCTTCTATACAGCATCTTTAGATGACATCGCATTTGGACGGTATATAAACGAAATGTCTTCTGGATGTGCTTGTATTTGATACACTTTATAACTTTTCTTATTAATTCCTATTATTACTGTTATTGTGTACCTAATGTTTTTGCAGGCTCCAGCCACAGGTGTTTCACCCCTGGGAACACGACCACCCAGTGGCTGGATTCCTCCCTGCGTGGCTTCAAGAGCAACCTCATTCTACCCGACTTCCTGTCCATCCTGAACAACAACGCAAGCATCGTGCGTGATAATTCCTGCCGTTTGGCATGAGCCTTGCAATTCATGCACAATCAACTCGCAATCCATGTGAAATCCCTGCACAATCCACGTGCAATTCATGTGCAATTCCTGCACAATCCATGCAATCAATGCACAATTAATTCGCAATTCATTGATTATGTTAGGGGAGGTGCTAGGGGAGGTGCCACTTTAAATCACCTATTTATTAAGAATGGTACATTGCCATAGACGTGTGTGCACTCGCACACAAGTAAACATGCTGTACATACGCACCCAAACACGTACATGGTGATTAATATCATTACTCTGTCCGATGTATTTTCGATTAGTACCAAATGTTGTTCGGGTGTGTTTTGACGTTTCACCCCCATGTTACCGGAGTTTATTCAGTAACTGCATGGATTCAGCTTTGCTCCCGGCACCGGTTAGTACTCGGATGGCGTTAGCAAGCATAATTTAACTCCACTCGGAAAAGGCAAGATTCCTCTTTCAAGGGCGATGAAAACGCATCGGGGAGAACTACCAGCGGCACGACAGCGGAACTCTGCCGTGCAGTAAATAATGATGATTTTGCTTTGCTCCGCATCTCAGGTGCCTGCTAATGAGCTGCTTGCCCTGCTCAACGTGACGACGTTTTCCAACTACTCGGGCGCGATGACGCAGCTGTTTGACAACTACTCTCCAATCGACGTGCTGCTCGAGGCTTACAACAAGAACTTCTCGACCGTGAGTGGGAGCTCACGATGGCCACTGTCTGACAGAGGGCAGGCTCACGGATGGAACGGAAAATGAACCAGAATGCACCCCGATCACGTGTTATTATCTCGGAAGATTAACCGGGGTTGCCCTGGAATGAATGCCACAAGTTGTAAAACTTTAATATAACCCATTGGGACAAAGTATATTTTGTTAAGGTGACTCAGGTCAATGGTTGACTAGAATTTCTGAAAAGAAATGCAATTTTTTTGCGAACAATGTTCAATCATTGACCAGTGCTGCATCAACCAATGATGATGTTCAAAATATCACAGCGGCGTTGAAAGCATATGAAATAAATTTCTGACATCGAATGCTCATCAAATTCTTCCAGTCTTAAATAAAGATTCTGGAAATGGTGGCCTTTAAAATACACTGAAATTGATAACGACTTGGGTACAGGGGTCACTCAGCAATGGTGAGGGATGGGGGGGGGGGATGGCAACACACAAAAGAGAGCCCCACAACCAGACTTCTTTTTGTCGCTAATCAATAATGAGGTCCCAACATAGCATTCTGCCCTGGGCCTCCAGGAACCTCTGGGTGGTTCTCCTTGCGGAGGCTTTCATCCAACAGTGGATTGATCATGGCCGAGGATGATCATAACCATGTTTCACGTGCTCGTCCTGTCCTCCTCTTGGTTGTCAACAGTCGTACAACTCACTCAACGGCGCGGTGAAGAGCGCGGTGGTGACCTCGGCGTTCGGCAGGTTTGGGAAAGAGCTCAAACTCAGCCCCAACAACGTGACGTCCACAAGGTGGTTCTCGACGTACATGCCCATGTTCCTGCCGGATGTGAACAAAGACGCGCTGGCTTTGGTCTCCCTTAGCGACTGCAGCATCTACGCCTCTGCGTGAGTGGATTTGCACCAGGGGCACAGAGGCACAGTGGAAGTTTGGGGTGTCCTTCTCGCGAACGGTTCCCATTGTGTTACAGTAGTTGGTTATGTAATAGATTCCCAGTCCGTGATGCATCTCGTGCTAATCCTAAGCAGATTATACGAGAGTGAATGAGGTCGCTGTGGCTAACCATTCTCTTTGATATTTAATGAGGTCATTTTATCTAACGGATCTCTATGAGAGTGAATGAGGTTGCTTTAGTTCGCAGATCTCTATGAGAGTGAATGAGGTTGCTTTAGTTCACAGATCTCTATGAGAGTGAATGAGGTTGCTTTAGTTCACAGATCTCTGTGAGAGTGATTGAGGTTGCTTTAGTTCACAGATCTCTGTGAGAGTGAATGAGGTTGCTTTAGTTCACAGATCTCTGTGAGAGTGAATGAGGTTGCTTCAGTTCACAGATCTCTATGAGAGTGAATGAGGTTGCTTTAGTTCACAGATCTCTGTGAGAGTGAATGAGGTTGCTTTAGTTCACAGATCTCTATGAGAGTGAATGAGGTTGCTTTAATACACAGATCTCTGTGAGAGTGAATGGATGTCGCTTTAGCTCACAAATCTCTATGCAGTGGAGGCATATGACCAAATTACCCAGAATCCACCTGACCTCGTGTGTGACGTCTACACAGTGTGCATGAAACAGGTGTAGCAGGCTTTGTGGGCAGGAGAGTGCAGTGTAGCAAAACATTTTTCCATTCTGCACACTTTCCCCCACCTTTGCAAAAGCCGCACTGACCAGCATAGTGAAGTATGGTTAAATATCGCTCTTGGTCAACAATGGAATGGGGAGCCCCTCATCCAGCAGTGGATTGACAAAATGCATGGACAATATACTGACAGTGAGAGGCTGGAGGGTGTTTGTTTTATATAATTCGCTGTTGTGTTTTGGATATTGTTGCTACCCAACCCAATTAATTATTTTATAATGTGCAATGTAGTTTTCTCATTAATTGTCTGGTAGATTTGCACCGATGAAGCAATGCTCCCATGTGTTTTTTTTTTACCTTTCAGTGTGGATCCATTTAAAAACATCTACCCCAAATTGACGTTGGACAATAGGATAGCTGTGCATGATTGGCTGGTTGCCAATCTCAACAGTACGAACGGTGAGTGAGATTTCTCGGCCTTAATAGTGCCATCATTAGACCTCCTTTGCCAGTACCAAAATATAATAATTGGGTTTTTCCACTTTTTTTCTGGCAACAAAACTGAAATCTTTTTACAAGGAATCATGTCTGCATTAACCACGATACTTGTGGTCAAAATGCAAACAAAAAACATACTATGATAATATATGCATTGTCCGTGATTGGTCCTGGTGTGGACCAATCAGTTTCAAGGACAATGCATATATTATCAGTGTTTTTTGTTTGCATTTTGACCACAAGTATTGTGGTTAAGGCACACATGATTCTGTTGTAAAAGGTTTCAGTTTTGTTGCCAGAAAAAGGGGGAAAAACCCTATCATTATTATTATTTTATTAATCATGTCAATTAAATTGTGTTACAAATGCATGAAAAAACACGTGTCAACAAAACACATACTTTTTTGACAGCCATTTACAAATCCACGAATGCATAAAGGCTTCTTCATACCACGTTTGAGGATGTTGAGGTGTATTTTCCTCCCACAACAAAGTACTGTTGTCAATGCCAATGATGACGTTGCTTCAATTGATCTTTGTTTCGTCTTCTTTCACCTTTGTCGAATAGCATCCAGACCGCCGTGCTTCGTGGGAAAGAACAGCTGGCTCACGGACAACCTGCAGCAGTACTTCCTGCTGACGAACAAAGCTGAGCTGGAGATGCTGGTCACCAATAACAGTCAGGTAACACTCCGTCCGATGAACACGACATCCAGTGGGCGCGGACGTCTGCGTGTTCATAATGTAGCGCGGGAGGAGACATTGACGCGGACGGAGTGCCTTCAAGCTACACGTTAGGGCTTGAAGAAGGTAAAGTAGGTCTCATCATGACGTGTTTCCTCCTGAAACGAGAAACGTGAAACGGTGAAGGTGCAACCCTGGAATAGTTTGGTCACGCCACTGCAAGCGGGAGGGGTTCTCACGGAGGGAGCTCTAGAGAGCTGCGCTCCACGGTGTGTTGGTTTTACTGGTAGGAACGAAGTTGTAAACTGAGTGTACCAGCCTGCAATAGATTAATGTGTCCGTCCGTCCGTCCCCTTTCAATACTTGAACGAAGTGAAATCTCGTGCTGTTGGGTGTAAAATCAGCAATAGACAGCGCAGAGACTTGTCCTACCAGCCCACCCTGCAGGGACCTGTTTGTGGGAGTACACACACTTTATGTTTACACCATCTCATCCCCCCCCCCCCCCCTTAATTACGGATAATATTGGTCGCGAAAGCCTCCGTGTTTGAAACCAACACTTTACTCTTCCATTACTTGACTGCAATTTACCCATTTTTTTTCTGCTGGGTGGATAGAGGCGGGGGGGGGGTTAATACACTTGCACCACTGTCTGATAAGCGTGCCAAGATAATGAACTGGCGATGTCTGCATTGCATGTCCAGGGTGCTACCTTATTACTCCACGGGAGAATACCCCTTATCATCTTGTTACGTGAATCTGAAATGGTACAAAGGTTATTTGACCCAAAAAAATGCATCATGTGTGTTGCTTTTCATGTGATGCATACATTTAGTAGGACTTTCAAATATTCTCGGCGGGTCATACAATAACAAAGACACACCTATAAGGCAAACAAAGAGCATGCGTGTCGACTGAGTATAAAGATGCTCCTTGCAGTTGCAGTAAAAGAAGTTACTGAGCGTGGTAAAATTAGAAACACGGTGTTGCCAGACACCTGCAGTGACGTACAAATATTATTTGCGAGCAGTTTCAAAGCTGTAGTCCTCGTGTCGCCGTGGGCTGTGTTCCCGCCACCCTTCCAATACATACCTGAAAATGGAAACGTGACTCGTTCCATCTGAGAATAGGTTTTCCCCTTCTTTTCTGGCAATTAAACAGCTGTGTTAAGATGTTAAAACACCAAACTGAGACCTTTTACAAGGAATCATGTCTGCATTAAGCACAATACTTGTGGTCAGAATGCAAACAAAAACATACTCTGATAATATGATGCATTGTCTTTGAAACTGATTGGTCCACACCACAGACAGCTTTCTTTTGAGCCTCGTCTCAAAACGGTGTTAGACCAGAGGACGCCAAAAGGCGTACAGCACAAATACAATGCACTATTAGAGTAACACCTGTTTTGTTGCCAGAAAAGAAAGGGGAAAACCTATTCTCGTTCAATCTGTCGATGTTGGAAGGTCACGATAATGCTTCTAAAGATGATCCAATGTAGACGAAACTCAAGTACAGCATGGTGCTGCTATGACAGACTTCATCACAAATCGGCCAAATTGATCAAAGGGTCGTTATTGTCGATAGCATGGTTGTTGTTTTTGTATTTAATGCATTACAGAATCCGTGCACATTCCTGATTTGTCTTCCTTGTTTCTGTGCAGCTGGTGGAGTTCTTAATCCATCAGAGCACCCTGGACCAACTCGCAAATGCAAACAACCTGACCACTGACATGATGAATTACCTGGTGCAGCAAATGCATGCGGGAAAGATAAATTTGACAAGGTGAGTTTTGTCTATAAGCCATGCTACCGTCATGTCCTCCTGTGATCAAGTCAACCTGAATATAATAAATCTCCCCCAGGTCTCAGTAGCTAAGCAGGTTGGTGCTTGGTTAGCACTTGGATAGGAGACTGCTTGGGACTAGTGTGTGTAGCAGATCAAGCCTACAAGATTTTAAGAAACTGTTGGCAGGACAGCATTTGATTCTTGAGTTAACCTATATTTTGATTTCCAGTTTCATCCCCTGATATGTGTCGGTTTTCTCCAGCTACTCTGGTTTCCTCCCGAATGCAAAACACACTCATTTATGAAATTGGCCAAATTTCCCAATGCAGGAACCTCATGTGACCTCCGTCTTAAGACTCAGTGGAGTTCTCCTGCAATTAAATAAAATCCATTAACATGTAAAGGTTGACCACAGCCCAATGCCTTCGAAGCAAACGTATCAAAATTGTGACCCTAAATTGTGACTTCATGAAATTTCAGTGTGTGGGGGAGGCGGGGGGGGGAAGGGTTTAAACCGGAATAAAAATCATGCTTATGCATGGATTCTGTAACGATTACAACACGTGTTTGTCCCCCGAAAATTATTTATTTGGCAATAAAAACGCAACCTCCTGAGCCGAACGGGAGGAGTTCACACGGCTCGTGATGCACGGCCGTCATGAGCAGTAGGTGTGACGTTGTCATCGAAGGGTGGAGCTCGCCGAAAATGCATGACATCGCATTGGCCGAAAAATAATCATCGATATAGTGCTGTTTTCTTTTTTTTACTCCATGTCTTTGGCAAAACCCTCGGAAAAATGAATCCAGTTTTCTGTAGAATGAGTTCCTAGCAGCAACACAACATTTTCCTCATGCTCAAGTCATATTGCATCATGTCTATGAGAGTAATTACCGTCACCTGCCCCCTAGCCCCCCGGTCACACTACCTAACAGACGGACAGAGCTAAAGCACGAATGCTTTCAACCTTAGATAAAAAATAATTGATATTTGAGACAAATCACGAATCTGAATCCTAGGAAAACATCAAATTGCCATCGGGTTGAGTTGATGCTACCCTAGCTAACAGCACTTTCTTGCCAGCAGTCACTGTTAACGTGGGATGTTTGTGTGCTCGTGTGCATTTCCAGTGTGCCAAATCCGCTCCTGTGCTCGTACGTGGTAGCATACAGCTCTGAACTCACCGCGGACAATTCGAATGTGTTGCTGGGAAATCTCACGGCATGCGAAGTATCCTTGCCAAACACAAAGGACAAGGACAAGGTAAAACAAATCTAACACGTGCTCTTTGGTTCTTTCGGTAAAGTCACGTAGGCAGACATTTTTTATATCACGACGTTTCGATCGCAACGCAAGCGGTCGTCCTCAAGCGGAAAAAAATAACCTAGCAGTGGTACTGCTGAACCAGGAAGAACACAGCGAGAGAGCTGTTACAACAAGAGGTTATATATATATGTCGGCGAAGTGCATATCACACACCACTAACATTTTGGCCATGAGGCTCAGAGGTCAGAGCACTCCGGCTGGCATTGCTGATATCATGGAGTTCAAATCCAGGATCTTGGTAGTCGTGATAAACCGGCGTGGTCACGTGTAGTGAGTTTATGGTCTCAGCCGGCCACTGTTCACTCTTTTTTCCCTATTTTTGTATGCATAATTTGGCTAAATTCCAGTTCTCATAATCGATCGCCAGTTTTAGTGTCACGTGATGGACATTACTCGCGCATGCAAAGAGGGTGAGAGTGTGTTGATCCCTCGACTGTGTGAACAAGAGGTTAGTTGAAGGGATCTCAGGGGTAGCTCTGTGACATCTGCTTCCTTGAGGCATTCTCGAACACAAAGCGATGCATTTCATAATGTGGGATAAATTTATGATTTAATGAAGTTACATTTTTTTTAATATACTCTTTCTTTTTTGTTTTCCAAAAACCAAAACGTCACTCCCCGGGTCATGTCCTGTCTGTGTCTCCCTGGCTGCCGTGCGCGCGTGTGCAGCTGCACGTGATAATTGTGAGCAAATTAACGAACTATACGTCGGATGTGATCAAGAGCCTGGGGGGCGCCGTCGTTGCAGTTCCATTCTCTGACATCGACAAGAAATTTACATCCGGCATGGTCCTGGACACTTTGCCGCAACTCGGAAGTCAGTCGGGCTGGAGTCTGGGACAGACACGCAAACTCCTCATGAAGCTGGGCGACCAATATGCAGTGAGTACCCAAAAGGGATTAGACCAAAGCTTTTACACCCACGGCATGTCAACCGTATCCTTTCGTGAACCAGGAGATAAAACAATGCATTACTACAATGAGAGTCAGAAAGAGGAATATGTGGATGAAACAACATACAGAGGTTAATGGCATGTATGTATGTTGAACGTCTTTCGCGCTGAGCTTTCAAACTAGATTTAAAAGTGCATAGCTCCAGTGGCTTCCTAATATCGGAAGGAAGAGCATTCCAGACGGCCGCAGAAGCGCGTTTGAAAGCAGCGTGACGCGATAACCATCTTTGTTTGCTGATTATCCAAAAGCCGCTACGAGGATGACCGGAGTTCGTGGTTTATGTTCCTTGACGAAACCTGCAAGGCATTGTGGTTAATTTGTGGTAAGCGTTTTGTGTGTAATGAGTGCAACCTTATCATCCAACCTGTTAAGGAAAATAATTGGGTTTGGGTAGGGCATGTCATGGCTGGAAGGAGGGCTGGCCGATGGTCAAGAATTATAGCGGAGTGGCAAACGAGGAATGGTACACACCCGTAAGTACATCCACCAAGGAGATGGAGTGATGAACTCGGTTCGTGTGCTGGATGAATTGTTCCATTGCAAGATCATGAGGGGTGGTGATGGCTTGTGGGTTGGGGGGGGAGTTGGTGGGCTTTATCCAGAAGTGTAGACAATCAAGCGATAGTATCGCGGTTAGCGCACTGCGCTACGAACCCAGCTACCCAAGTTCAATTCCTGCTCATGGCCAACCCCAGCAATGATTATCTGAACCGGTCCTGGGCCTCGCCTTGGTTGATTTCGCTTTAAATTAGTATCTGGTGTGGTGTGTAAAAACATCGGCACAAGGAAATAAAGGCCACCGGATGTGGTGTTGGCCACCGATGCTCTCGTTTGCTGTGCCGGCCATCGTAGGTGCTCAGTTCAAGACTACACGAGGGGATATTTTTCTTCGTGTGTGCATCCACACATGTGGGGAGCAGTGGTGAAAGGGTGAATGCCCTACAATACAAAGCAAGGAACCTGAATTGAATTCCAAGCCACCCCTAATATCCGTAACTAGAGATATCAGTTCTAGACCTGTCCAAGGTCGATTCAACCTTGAAAGCAATACCTAGTGCTGTGTTTAATTTGCAGCACTGGGGAAACAAAGGTAGCTGGGCATGGTCACGCCACAAGCTTTTCGTGTGCTGTGCTGGCCTTGTTAGCCGCTTGGTGGCAGCACTCGCCCCATCACTTTCTGTCGTGCATAAGGTGAGGCGCCTTTACCTTTGTGACCGTGTGTCTCGTGCAGGTGAACAGTTCCAAAAGCTTGGAAGGCCTGGGGACCCTGGTGTCTGGAGTTTCCAGCGACACCTTCAAAAGAATGGACGCTGACCAGCTGAAAAACTACATGATCAATTCCAACATGAGTGTCAACATCCAGACCTTGCCACCCGGCATTCAGTCGGTCATTGTCAGCAAGGTCAGTGCGGCAAATCTCACCCGTAGTTTCACCACCACCACACGACAAAAACAGGTCCTGAGCAAATCTAATAAGAAAAGTTTTGCCTATGTTCAAACACCAAATAGATTCCTTTTGCAAGGCATCAAGTCTGCATAATGAACACATGCTTGTGACAAAGCATGCACACAACAAGCATGCTCAGAGAATGTACACATTGTCTTTGAAACGGATTGGCCTACACCAGAGACGGCTTTCTTCATGGCCTAGTCTGACCATGTAGACCAGACAACCCTAAAAGGCGAACCGTACAAAGGCAATGCAATTATTAGCGCATTTATAGCTCGGATAGGGCAGTTATATCTATGATACTTTTTTGCCAATATCAACAATAAGAATGGGTTTTTTTCCTTTTCTGGAAACAAATCAGGCATTGAGATGTCCCATACATACCTGAGCAAACCGTGACAGCACAGGGTTAAACATCACGAACAGAAAATACCATGAACAGCAACAACGGTTCAATAGTGCTAAGGGTGAGATGGAGGGTTTAAGCAAATTCACGCCGCACCTCGAAATGGAATGCACACAGTCTTGCTTTGGACTGACAACTCAAAAGAGTCAAACTTATTTTAAACAGCAGCAGCACAATCGTACTCCAGTTTCACCCTTGTTCGGAGTCATCGGTGGAGTTGTAGCCATCATTGCCTCTTGCTACCTTGTTCCTTGGGGACTTTGTGTCCTCAAATCAATCACTGTGTATCACACGTGCCTTTCCTTTGTAACAAAAGCTCGTAATGAATGACTATAACCCAATTAGGATGCGTCTATCATAAATTAATAACGGGTGCATTTTTATTGGGGTTAATGTTAATTCAGATATTTAACCTGTAAAAATCACCTTGGGATGGAACGTCTTGTTTGGGAGGTTGTCCATGCAGGGCGTCTAGCGCCACATGCACAAAAAACCACAATGCAACGAAGTGTACACAGACATTTTGAAATCTATAACGTGTAGAGTCGACGTTTGTACAATGTCGGATACAATTACAATCAGGAGCAGAGAAACAAGACCACCAAGGCACCCACACATGAGCATCACACCGCAGTCACACACATGAATAAGTGGTGCAACACCGCCGGCTCGTACAGACATTTTTCTTCAGCTGAAACAGTCGCACATGGTGTGCATGTGTGTTTTTATGAAAGGTTTAATCGGTTGAGACTGGTGGCACTTGTTTTATTTTTTGTTGTTGTTGTTGTTGCAGTTGCTTGTTGACAAAAATATGACCATCGAATATATTAATCGACTGCCTCCGTCTACTGTGACACAAATTCCACCCGAAAGCCTGAGATCTTTGACCAATAAAAGTCTCAGTATCTTCTCAAAAGGACAGTGGACTGACAGCCAGGTGAGATAAATCGCACACAACCTGCATTGCAACCTTCACCTTACCACTTCAGCAATTGGGCTCGTGCAAGTGTCCCCCTGGATCATATTAGCTCTTGAGTCCAGTCACGTTTATCAGCAGCCCTTAGCCAGTGGTGGAAATTCCACATTTCCGTGGTGAGAGTGAGTGTATTAGCATAAAAACCCAACTGCTAACTCCCCGCAAAGCTGGTACATATTGCATTGACCTCAGAGAGATCTGAAATTTCCCCAAGGACAAATTCACCCAGCATGCACCTGATTTCATTGTATTCCAAAAGCTAGGCAGGGTTGAGCGTGGTTCTGAAATAGCATGGGAGAATGTTGGATAATATCCGGTGGCATAGGATATGGTAGTGCAGCAGTAAATGCTTTCATCTATCTGTGCAACGATTTTAATATTATCTCCTCATCTGTGGGTATTCTCTGGTACTCCTTTCACAAGTTGAAAGTCACATAACAGCATGAATGAACTCTCTGCAAAGTAACATTTAAACATTGATTTAAATAATATGGACACGTGCACAAATGTCATATTTGTTTGCTTCATTTTTCTCTTTCAGGCTGTGATTCTGTTGGACGAATTGAAAGATAATAATATTGCATCTATCATTACGTAAGTGTGTTTGTCCCATGTCTGTTGACGTCACATGGGTTTAATTGGGCAGATCCAACACATATTTAGACCCATCATCATCATCAATGGCCATGGCAAATCCACTCCTGGATGAAGGGGCTCCCTAAGCCACTGCCAATCACCCACGGTCCTTTGACGTAACAATTTTTGCTCGGAGCATCGCCAAATTAGACGAACTTACATTGCAATGCTATTGAATGAAGAGGAAGTAGTGGCCCAGTGGTGAGAGACCTGCACCGTGAACCTGGCGACGCGAGTTTTATTTGAATGCCCATCCAATGCCCCACCCCCTTCGGCAAATCTGCACTAACCAACAGGGGTATGTATGGTCATACAAACCCCATGATTGACATGGCAAGAGGCGTTATTTATCCAGCAGTGGATTCACAAATGGTTGATATTATAATAACGATATATATAAAAATTTTACGTGATTTTTGTCCCCCTCCCCCCCCCCTCGACCAACCCCCTCTGTCGTGAAGAAAGAGACTTTGTCCAATATCACCCATATCAGTGGCGAATTTCTAATTCAACTCCCCAGCGCCTTTCCCAGGCCCTCTCAGCCTTAATGGAGTGCCAGGTGCCGTATGTGCACATCCGCAATAGGGAGATGAAGACAGCTTGGCATGGTGTCGGCCACACCACCCCCTCGCACGCTAGGCCATTGGCACTCGCTAACGGCACTTGCCCTGTACAGAGTTACGGTCATTTGAGTCTGTTAAATATTGTGCGCGTTATAGATTGCATCATCGTTAATCTTAGTATTACTAACCTTTTGCCCGTCCAAGGACGGGTGTATTTTCAGTGGATCTGAAACTTGCTAGCGAAAATCGGACCGCGACGTGATATATTCATTGCATCAATTCGTGTGCAGTTTGTAAGGGCGCGGTGACACAGACCTATTTAATTTTAAGGTTATAATCCCTTGTTCATCACGACGTCTTTTTTACTTCTCTGTCTCAACAACAGCGTCACGGAGATCACGTGACGAGAGGGTTCTGCCTTTGTAGTGAGGGTTGTCAGCTGACGCCGAGGAGGGGGGAGGAGGCGCCTTGCCCCCCCCATGTGGAGTGACGTCAGCCGCTAATTATTATGAATAGGGATGGTGTCCATTTGGAGGACGTCACCTTATAATGATTATTAATGAGGGGGGCTGTTCGATGTGGAGTGACGTCACTTGTTCATGATTATTAGTGGGGGGGGGGGGAGTACTCCATATTGAGTGACGTCACCCGCTCATGATTATGAATGAGGAGGGGTGGGGGGGGTATCCATTTGGAGGACGTCACCTGCTCATGAATATTAATGGTGGGGGGCTGGTCGATGTGGAGTGACGTCACGAGCGTTAAGGACAGACATTCCTGGGTGATTATAGTAGGTATTATCGTTAAAGAGCTTGTGTATAGGCCATGCAGCAGTTGTTTGTGTTTGGCCATTATTTATGGTTTGTCATTGTGGTTTGTCATAATTGTGGTGTTACGCCCTGTTTGTTGAACTGACAGGACAGCACCCAACCTGCTGCCAGGGTTTTCGTGTGGACAACTCAAAGCATCTGATAACGTGAAGGACTTCCTGAATACAGTTACCACTGTCAAAGGCCAACTGACCGGATCCCAGGTGTTTATGATAATTCATGAGAAAAACACATGGGCACAGTCACCGACCTTTCATCCCACGTGGACTTCGTCTGTAATTATGATCGAATAATGTCGCAGGACTTCCGATCACGCTGGCGGAGACGCAGAAGGGAAACGTGGACGTTGCCCGGTGTTGGATTCGATATCATGTTTACAGAATAATGATTTCCATGACGTGTTGTGGCTCATCGGTAGAATTGCCACCTCGCTGAGACATAATAAAACTAGAACAATATTATGGGAAGAAGCAGAAGAATGTTTCGCAAATATCGGAAGAGGGGAGAACTACACTTGTGTTGAGTTGCGGATTATTACTGCTTGTCTGATAAAAAAAAAATGGGACTTTTAATGTCCTGGGAAGATTGACAGATTTCCCAGTGCAGGTGGTAACCCTACATATTTTAACTTTAATAAGCAATGAATGTCAACGGCGGCGAGGAGATTCCAGTCGTCGTGTGGAATTTCCCTCCAACGTTACAATCGATTCAAGTAGGCACAAAACATATCTAAAGGGAGCGGGATGACCATTTGAACTTGTAACGTGCACTGCGCAGTAATCTCTCTCTCTCACTCGCAGAGAGAGAGAGAAAGATTCGGAGGCGCAAGGAGCCACAGCCAAGTGGGGAGGCAGCCAGTCGGTGAACCGGCGCCAACAATTGCCCAATCTCTGCCGTCCTCTCTTAATATTAAGCTGCTTTCTGCCTCCTAAAGTACAGATATGGAGTAGGCAGCTAAATATACTTCTCTATTCAATACATTGCTGTCCTCTGAGTCTCTAGTGATCAGGCTGTGATGCACCGGGCTATGTTGCATTGGGCTCTGATGTATCACCTCAAATGCTTTGCCTGATAAACTTTTCTTTGTGCTTGCAGGAGAGTTGCTTGGCCGAAAAACTGTTAAATACTGCGGATGAATCTGTACCTTCGACTGTCCTCATGTTGCTGCCGTAAGTGAGGGAGGCTTAACATCTATCGTAATAATAATGATTGGGAATTTGTAATACACACAATTTCCGTTCACTTTGGGAGAGAGAGAGTAAGAGAGTGATTCAGATATGTGTGAAACCACATACAAGGGGGAAGGCAGCCATAACCAATGCAAACAATTGTCCAAGCTCTGTAATCCTATGTTGGGATGTTTTGGACAACTCCCATGTTTATATATGTTGGAGGAAATTGGAGCACATTGAGAAAACCCCTGCATCTGAGGGGGTAGGTAACACTCCATCCCCGTACAGATGGAGATTAACCCACTTGCTGTGCTGCTATAATATCCTGGTTGTAAGCCAGGGAACGTTGACCTCGACGCCCACGGGTAGCGAGGGAGTTTCACGAGTTTGTGTGTGATCCACCCACCTTCGCCCCTCAAGTGCTGGATTACATGCGTGCATAGACACCACCAATGGCCATAATAGGATGGTACATTTATGGATTGTTTGGAGTCAAGAGTCCGTGATTTGCATCCAAACATTAGCGTTATTAACAGAGAGACGTGTGATGATCCCTTGCTTTTACAGAGCGTCGCGTCAGAACTTTGGTGTCAATTGCCAAAAGGTGTTCACCAAAATGGGCAAGGGCAACATCAACAAGGTGCCCATGGACAAGACCAGGACGAATCTTCTGACCAACGCCCTGTCGTGCCTGGTGGGTGGCCGCGTGGCGGGGGGAAGGGCGCGTCGCGTTGTGGTGCTCGGCGAGTAAAAGGTGAAGGCGCAGAACGCGTGCCACCCGTTTTAGGCCTAATGGGGAAACGGAACATTTTAATGCCTCGAGTGTTAAGGCGGAGAGCGGACGTTTGCAGACAGATGGTCCCCCGTTTCCTCGGGGCTTGCCATAAGGTGCGTGTGTGGTGGGTTCAGGGGGGAGGAGACGAGTGCTTGGGGTTATTACTTCTCCCCCTTTTAGGGGATACACGGGAGTTGGTCACTGCCCCGCGAGACATTTGCTGATAATAATTGCGGTGTTCATTGCGGTGTTCATTGCGGTGTTCATTGCGGTGTTCATTGCGGTGTTCATTGCGGTGTTCATTGCGGTGTTCATTGCGGTGTTCATTGCGGTGTTCATTGCGGTGTTCATTGCGGTGTTCATTGCGGTGTTCATTGCGGTGTTCATTGCGGTGTTCATTGCGGTGTTCATTGCGGTGTTCATTGCGGTGTTCATTGCGGTGTTCACGAGCAGGCTCCCGCCCACCTCCGCCTTTGTCCCGCCTTCCCTTGGTTTCCCCCCTCCCCGTATGAAGCCGATACCGCTGCCTGTGATCCCCCACACGTGGGGGGCAGTGAGCCCAGATTCTCTCCCATCTCTGGTCCCGGGAGTGCCGAGTCGGGTCTTCAGTCCACGGAGTTTATGTACCCAGCAGGTCCCCCCCCCCCCACCTGTGTTGCGGTTTATCCCTGCTACCGGGCTCTAGTTCTGTGGCAAACAAAAACAATAAATGAAGTTGCAACCATGCAATTGCTTGCTCACACCGCAGCAGGCGGGATGTCAACTCTTCCACGCTAGCCGTACCGTCTTGGGGGAGCTGGGAGTCCCCGCACTTTACTCTCCCCCCCCCACCCCCCCCCCCCCCCCCCCCCATAATATGCCACCTGTCGATTGACCGATTGTGCCGTACCCAATTATAGTGCTGGGTAGGCAGGGCCTGTAGGGGGTGGTTCAGGAGACTTGCACCATTACGTCAACTGCCGCGACCGCACACCAAAGCAAACGAGTGAACGCAAGCGCAGCTGCAATGACGGTCGGAGGAGAGGTGCACTGTGCCCAGGTGAACACATGGCCGAACGATCATGCCCCCGATTACCGCTGCGCACCCGTCAACAGGGTGCTGCCATCGTGTAATGGTTTAATACACGATCACGTTTTGGCTTGGCGTGCGCAGTAGTGGAAATGGGCCGCAACGCTGTGACGGGAGTAGAAATTGGAAACCGACCGCGTTCCGGAAGGAATCAAGGATTCAACTTTACTGATGTTTTCATTTGAGTCTCAGATAGGACCCCTAAAGTAACGGAGACTCACAGACACTCACTGAGGGGGTGGGTGGCACGGCACGCAAGAGGGTGGGTGACCAGCATCACGCCCGGCCCCCTTTGTGTCCCAAGTGATATATTTACACACAGCACCAGGTAATCATTTGAAGCTGCGTCGACCTAGGGGAGGCCCAGGAACGGTTCAGATACTCCTCACTGGTGTTTGCCATGAGCGGGAATCAAACTCGGGTCGCTAGGTTCCCTTGACTGCTCTTACACAGACACAAACGTAAGTCACTAACAACAGGAACAGTAAGATCCTACTGCACGGTGCGTGGCCCGTCGATTTCGATAATGAACACGAGGTCCAGGACCGATTCAAATAATCGTCACTGATGTTGGGTGCGCTAAAACCGCTACCCACTCGTGGACAAAAACACACACCCACTTTGGATCATCATCATTGGTAAGTACAGTATTTAGTCAGTAATTATACTCTATTGTCTAGGAATTATTTTTTTGATATGATGTTAACACGTTTATTTCAATTATGTATTTTTGAGGTTATTTGGCGTACTGTACAGCACTTTTTTATATTATGCCGTGTCTTTTTGGTTGCCATGTACCTCACCCCATTATTTAGGCAAGGCTTAAGTATTTAATGTTTTGGCTTTTGCGGGACTTTCCAAGGACGTAACCCCCACAATTTTCAAGGATATGTGTATGTCACTGTGGTTTTTCAAAGCTCATTCTCTGCTATGCTGTCGCCTTCACAGCACATTTCAAAGGAGAATCTGACTGCAGATTCAATCGCTGTCCTCGGGAATCTGTCATGCATGCTGAGCGACAACCAGATCAAGAACGCTGACAGCAGCATCTTGATGCATCTCAGTCAGTGCAGGGTCTACACAGATGCTCAGGCCACCAGCATCCAGGAAAAGCTCATCGTGTTTTATAAGTGTGTACAGCGATCCACCCACACATCCACCTATCTACTCGCCCATCTACCATCTATATAGCCTCCTACCCATGTATCTAGCCATCTACCTATCTATAGATATATCTGTCCATTTTTCTGTCTGTCCACCGATCTATCTATCAATATATCCATCCATCCACCTATCTATCTGTCTATGCACCTCGCTACACATCCATTCATCCATCCATCCACCCACCCACCTACTGTATATATATACACCCATCCAATTCACGCATTCATTTGCATGTGTTTGTATACAGTATATACAAAACCATGCATTCATCCATACACCATTCAACCCATCCATCAATCCATTCATCCAATGATCCATTCATCCATCCACCGATCCAAATACCCCATTATCTACTCTGTCATCCATCTATCTAGCCATTCCTTCATTAACCCATTTATCCATTCATTCATTCATTAACCAACCCTCCTAATACAATTTAACCCACTGGTTAACAAAAAATGTTGGAATTAAGGTGAGCGAGAGAATGATGAAGTGCTTTCAGAACATTGAATTCAATAATGAAAAGCAACGTACCAATCTGCCTCAGGAAGGAAGTTTTCAATCAGTGCGTATTTCCAAACATGACATTGACACCTACAAAGGAAATGGAGCATGGAACAAAAACTACAAATCACTCAGCCGTGGAATAGATCAGGGCAAAATATTTAAATCTGCACATGAAGCATTTCAATTGCGTTTTGTCTGCCTCCCTTGCAGGAATTCTTCCACGTGGACATCTCAGACTCTCACAGAAATGGGCGACATGGTCACCACCCTCAACAACACCACGCTCTATGCCATCAATCAAGTAAATGTCATCTACAACCACACCACTTCCCGGCGCATTTTCTGGTTGTGCCGCACACATTTGTTGTTTGGCACCATGTCCGACATTTCTCTCCACTCTTGCTGGGAGCTTTTTCAGGAAGCTAAAAAAAAAACACGCGGCACAACCCGGAAATGCATCGGAGACCTATAGAGCACAACCACAAAAAAAAACAACGCCGAGGCATCTATGATCGTTTGCCATATTTGCCGGGCAGGTGGGTTAGATTTGAACCTCAGGAGTCTGTCGCTTGCCTGTTAAATCTTCTTGCTGGCTGCGGGCTTCGCTCTGCCCTCAGTCCGGCGTTCACCATGGAATCGACACACAGCAGCCACGATCACCGTAACTTTGTACCCTGCCGAGTTTGCCCGGTTCTATTTCAGGAGCTCCGAAAATAAAAATGGTGAAAAAAAATGTACCACCCCAGAATAACTATTCACTTGCTTCAACAGATTATGGCTCATAAAGATACACGTGTTTTAATTTACAGGCCGGATGGAAATTATCTTTATTTAATCGAGAAATGGGGGGTTGATTTAGTGTTGTGGAGAAATGGCTCCGGGAGCTAGGAGGGTGTCAAGGAGGATTAAAGCTAAAAGGTCTCCCCGTTCAGGCAACCGTGAGGTGGTGTGCCATTGACAAACCTGAACGAGTGATCGAATTTTCACATCCTCATGGCAGTGTGTGGTGGGGGGGGGGGGCTGTATTCACGTGACGATTAATTCAATATAACGGGTTCCTTGGCTCACGAAATACTGACGTGTGCCTCACCGTTGATTCATGTACGGTGCCATGAGACAATGATGACTTCCGTCGGTGAGCTTTTGAGCACAACTGCCTCCCCATTTCTCAACCCCCCCCCCCCCCCCACTTTGACTTCTCGCGCAGTCCCAGCTGACGCCTCTCAAGGATTACGTGGCTGCCCTGTCACAGGCCACGTACACGGGTCCTGCTCGACTTAATTTCTCTCCCAACGTGACGTTGATCAACCTCAGATTGGCAGCACTGATCAACGGCGGCGGCGGCGGCGGTGGCGGTGGACGGAGGAAGCGCGGCGCCCCCGACAGTAAGTCGCCCCACCTCGTGTCACGTCACACCGGCCGCCCGCTTGCACCAACGATCTCGCGCTGCGGAACGGAAAGGTCATCCCATGTGGGTGGGTGGGGTTGGGACCTTCCGACTGTGGGCGGGTCATCTCGCGTTGGACTTGGACGAATCATTTAGCTCGGGATGTTGATAGAAATCTTTTGGGTTGAGTTAACAAAATGAACAAATCTCGCGAAATGTGTCAATCGCAAATCGCTTGAGGCGGAAAATATAATGGGTAAGTGAGTGCCAGGTGTCCTGGGACACCTTTAATAAAGGTGTCAAGTTTGGTGGGGGGCACTGCCCCCCCCTCCCAACCCCCGCAGACTCTGCCCATGCCCAGCTGTGTAGTGACAAACAGGTTGTTTTTGTATGCAATGAAAATACAAAGACATCGCTAAAGGGGTAATGGCACACGTACAGACAATTTTAAAATCTACAGCATGTAAAGCACGGTGTACGTGTACGCGATGGAAAACACATTTATTCATTTGTACAGTTCATCTCGTGTGTCATTCCACGTGGATGGCTCGGCTTTACAGTATGGACATTATACAACCTTCGCAGCTTTCCTAACAACAATACACCTCACATTCTACCTGTGTAGCATGCCCCTTAGGTACTCCGCTCACACGAACCAGCATCGTCGATCAGGGACCATTGCTCGTTCTGATGTCGGCGGCCAATCTCAATGCCTGCCTGCCACTCGACGTGTTCAGTCAGAGCATCGAGGATCTGGGAAAGGTCAAGTTCCTTCCCGATCAGCTGGCTGTCTTGAAGGGAAAGCTCAATACGGTAAGAATTTGGCCTTTGTTAATGTCATGGTACACAGTGTGGTTATACGAATATATACACAATAGTATATATATACACATAATAAAGGTTTTCGGGTTAGATCGTGTAAGTATAAATGTGTCGAAGCCCTCCACCACCAGACACGGCCAATCAGTAAAGGATTTGTCACGTAAACAAAACGCCAAATAGTTACTACTTCCGCCCACCGATGTGTTGAAGAGTGAATCCACAACATTTACAATCTGAGTACGACGTCCCGCTGGTAATTACATCCAGCATCATCGGGCGATTTGCCAGAATAGACAAATCCCTTACTGATTGGCCGTGTCGGGTGGTGGAGGGTTTCGACACATTTATACTTACGTGATCTAACCCAAAATAATAATAATGAGAATTATTATGAGAATAATAATGAGAATAATAAGAATAATATTGGTCGCGAAAACCTACGTGTTAAACTGAGTATATTTAAACAACAGCATACATCCTTGAAAATATCACGTTTTCTTAGCTATGGCTAGATCATCCCCAGCCTCAAAACTATTTAAACAGCCCTTGTTGATTGAACGTCTCCGTTTCTCTGTTTCCAGGCGTTTCCGACGCCAGTTCCCCAGGACGTGCTATTAATTTTGGGCACCTTGGCCCTGGGGTTCACTCCTGATGAACTCAGGCAGCTCAACCTATCCAGCATCGATACAGTTGCCAAGCTGGCCCAGACGCCAGGATGGAGCACAGACCAGGTACAGCGACCACAGTGCTGCTGGCGACAGTGTCAGTGCTGCTGCTGCCCCTGCTATTGCTGCTGCCGCTAGTGCTGCCCCTGTTATTATTGCTGCTAGTGCTGCCCCTGCTGCTGCTGCCGCTAGTGCTGCCCCTGCTATTGCTGCTGCTGCCGCTAGTGCTGCCCCTGCTGCTGCTGCTGCCGCTAGTGCTGCCCCTGTTATTGCTGCTGCTGCCGCTAGTGCTGTCCCTACTGCTGCTGCCGCTAGTGCTGCCCCTGCTGCTGCTGCCGCTAGTGCTGCCCCTGCTATTGCTGCTGCTGCCGCTAGTGCTGCCCCTGCTATTGCTGCTGCTGCCGCTAGTGCTGCCCCTGCTGCTGCTGCCGCTAGTGCTGCCCCTGCTGCTGCTGCCGCTAGTGCTGTCCCTGCTGCTGCTGCCGCTAGTGCTGCCCCTGCTGCTGCTGCCGCTAGTGCTGCCCCTGCTGCTGCTGCCGCTAGTGCTGTCCCTGCTGCTGCTGCCGCTAGTGCTGCCCCTGCTATTGCTGCTGCTGCCGCTAGTGCTGCCCCTGCTGCTGCTGCTGCCGCTAGTGCTGCCCCTGTTATTGCTGCTGCTGCCGCTAGTGCTGCCCCTGCTGCTGCTGCCGCTAGTGCTGCCCCTGCTGCTGCTGCCGCCCCTCCTGCTGCTGTTGCTGCCGCTGCGGCTCTTGGCACTGCTACTTCTGCATGAAGTTAAAGCTTAATTATCCAGGTTTTTTGAGAGTTGACGTCAATGTAGAGCTGGGTAAAAAAAAAAAAACCCGTTTCATCTTCCGTTATCTTTATTGTCTTTTGTTGAAAATCGTAACGGCGTCCTGACTTCCGTTTTGCAGATCAAGGCAGTGGCATCAAACTACGAATCCACGAATAATGTGCCCCAACTCACATCTTCTGACCTCAAGTCCCTGGGAGTGTTTGTGTCCGGGCTCTCAGATGTGGGGCAGATTAACAACGATGCATACAAGTAAGAAGCCAGCCATGCTCTGCAGCCAGCAGTAATTTAAAAAATATATATATATATAATTTCAACAACGCAGGCATAAGAATACAGAACCATGATACACGAGGGATCGACACGATCTTTACAAGCGAGCGGCTCTAGAGGAGAAACCTCGTTGCGTATCGAACCCTGCGACTGCCCTGGTTAATACTGCGAGTGTCTTGACCATAAAGCAATTACCTTCACTAACCTGCTTCTGTTCCTCAATGTTAAACAACCACCATCCCTTCTCCCTACTACTACTGCCTGTCCCTGCCACCTGGTTATGAACAGTTCTACTCCCACTCCTATCACTACCCCTCGTTAACTACTTCCACCTGTCCTCCTGTCACCATAACTACACCGCCACTTTTAATAACCGCACATTAAATAGGAATGATAACTATAGCTCAGAGTCCACGTTTGTAACTGTCTGCATATACAAATACATACACAGGAGGTGGGAGGGGATGGGTGGCCAACACCACGCCCGGCCGCTTTGTCTCCCCAGTAGCGATCTTTACACACCACACCAGGTAGTCATTTGAGGCTGAGTCTACCTAGGGGGGGGGGGCAGGACCGGTTCAGATAATCGTCACTGGTGTTGCCCTTGAGCGGGAATCGAACTCTGGTCGCCGGGTTCGTAGTGCACAGTGCTAACCGCTACACTACCGCTCCCCATACACACACACACACATCCTTAACACTATGCTATATATATAGTACACATAACGACACAGCAGATGCAAATGGTCAATTAAACTGCTTTCTTGAGGTATACCGTGCCTGATGAGAAGCTGAGATCCATTTGTAGTTTTAATTTTCTGTGCGTGTAACACAGGGCTGCGGCAGAGTCTATCGGAAACGTGGCAACATACAGTCCAGACCAGCTCACAAAGCTCTGGAGCAAAGCGAATTCATCTTTTAGTGGATTTCCAGCCGGTAGCATCACACAGATCGGATCGGTTGTTGGTAAGTTATGGGGACATTGCGGGCAGCACGGATTCCACAGCTTGTTCATAAGCATCACTGATGCCAGTGTAATGTGAACGTGGCTGGCTTGTAACCCTGAAGAATGCCGTTTTACTATTATTACTACTACTACTACCAAACTTTGGTATCGCGAATGTCACTTTATAATTGTGTTATGTACACCTTGGTGATTGTTGATTATCGAGTTTGCATGTCAGTGTGCGACTGTTCAAATGTTTATATGGAGTTGTTGGGGTTTGGGTTAGGGGTGGAAATATTTAGTCCGTCACAGGCAGAGGATAAGAGAGAGAGATCTTGAGCCCAGGGACTCTGGTGGCCGGGCGACGGGAGTTCTAGACAAAGGGGACAGCAGAGGAGAAAAAGCGACCACCAAATGAGTGAGGATTGACGAGGGGGGTTTGGAAGAAGGCCTTGGTTGCTGGAGTGTGGAGGGTGTGAAATGAGAGTAGAGCCAGATGAGAGGTAGGCAAGCACGTGGAGTGGAGCGGAGTGAAATGAGAGGGCTGAGAGGTATACAGGAGTGATTTAACCCAAAAAAACCCTCTATTATGGATGATGTTGGTCGCGAAAGCCTACGTGTTAAACTGACAGGAGTGAATTTTGATTTAAAGCTTTCGTGACTGCAGGGATTCATATTCTTGGTTCTTTCGGTAAAGTCACGTAGAAGGGAAATAATAAAAATATTAAACAATAAAATTATCACGACGTTTCGACTGCAACACAAGCAATCATCATCAGGTGTGGTTTTCACAGGTGTGGTTTTCACACCTGATGATGATTGCTTGTGTTGCAGTCGAAACGTCGTGAGAATTGTATTGTTTTATATTTTTATTATTTTATTGTTTCCCTTTTACGTGACTTTACCAAAAGAACCAAGAATATGACAGGCGTGAGTTTGTGGATGATCTTGAAGATGGCGAGCGTGATGTTGAATTGACTGGTGATTGGATTGGAAGCCAGTGAAGGGCACGGTGTATAGGGGGATGGGATGTCTTGATTGCTAGTTTGGGTTAGCAATTTGGCAGTGGAATTTTGAATCATTTGAGATATTGGTGACGAGTTCTATTGGGAGGCCATAGCGTAGAGAAATACAGTGGACAACTCGTTGTGAGGATGGCATGGATGAGGGTCTTGGTGGCAGTTGTGGTAAGGAAGTGGCAAAACACGTCAACCTAACGCTGGTTTTGTCGGAAATTGTTCTCACATTTTACAGCTGGAGCCTCAGCCGCTGATATTAATAATTTGGGTGAATCACAGATTGGTGAGATTAAGCCATTGGCTATTCCTCTCATCCCCCTTAGCGTGTTCAAGGTGAGTCCATTTCTCACACATTCTTTCGTGCTGGCAAGGCGGTGAGTGAATTTAAGTGCTCACCGCTGACTTTACTTGCCAGTGCGATGATCACATTAATAATGTTTATGTTTCACGTGTATTTTTTTAATTGTCGCATTTCGTGCGGATATTCTACAAACAACCCATGATTTCCCTAAATTAATTGCACGATGAACGTTGTTAGGTCATTCACTTAGCCAATACATTTTACAGAAAATTGTTAGTGTATTCAATATGGACGTCTAAACAGTACTCAAGCTGCTGCAGTGTAATGGTTAGCACACTGGACTTGCAATCCAGAGATTGCTGGTTCGATTCCATCTTCAGTTGAACCAATGGAGAAGTTTCTCCAATCACTCTACCTCTGTCCACCCAGCTACACCACAGTTAGTCGATCGACAGGTCGTGTGTGGTGGAGTAAAACGTGGGTATGCCGAACCTCTTCCAAGACTGAAGCATTGCATGTCGATATATTTGCGTGGTTTTGTGGGCGAGTAGACCAAAATACCCTCTGGACATTCTCCAGAACTATCTTTAGTCAATTTCCTTCCGTTAGCAGTGGCTCGACCGATTAATCGCAAGGCTGCACGTTTAACTTGTATCTATAAGTGTATCATCCTGTATATTGTATTTGCGTATATATATAATATTGTATCCTCTCTCTCTCTCTCTCTCCCTCGCATCTCTCCTGCGACGACTCAGGGTTTGAATGTGATGACGGTGAATTCGCTTTCGCGAGATTCCGCATTGAGCATAAGCAACAGTCAGTACAACCAGCTCTCCATCGCTGCACAGGCAGCTCTAGCGCAGAGGCTCGCGTCCTTTGTTGCATACACGGCGCCAAACGCACCTGGGTCTGGGTACGTGGAGGTACCTTCCCCCCCGGCAGGTGAGAAACCTTCAAGGTGTAGTCCAACAAAAGCAAACTTGGCTCTTCGTGGGCACATGACGGTTCACCACTGCTCCGCTCACCTCTGAGATTTGAAAAACATCGTAAAGAATTCGGGCTAACAATTCAAGAATTGTTTTTTTTTTGGTGTGCTTGTGTGTAAGACTGTTCAGCAAACTATGCAAACTGGTAGTTCAAAATTGCCCCTACACTGTTGGACATTCCAGTGGAATTCTGAATGTAACGATCTCAATAGTCTGAGCAAATTTGGATGCTTAATGGGATAATCCAGTGTATTTTTTTCCCACCGCGTTCACAAAACGGAGTGCATCACCACCAACCGTAATGATGCCGTGTGTTTGGAGGGTGAAGGCTGGTAGGGTGGCGGTGCAGTGGTAATGCTCATTCCTCGCAACAACAACAAAAATTCCTGACCCGGGACGCCTTTTCTGTGCGCAGTTACTATGTGTACCGCCCTTCTGCAAGGTTTTTCTCCGAGTTCTCCCGGTTCCCTACCACAGCAAAAACATATATATATTTAACTTGTTTTGCCCTAACATCCCGATGTTGAAACATTACTTGCGGATAACTCAATTGGGATTGTACCGGTGACGATTATCTGAACCAGTCCTGGGCCTCCCCCTAGGTCGACTCCGCCTCAAATGAGTACCTGGTGCGGTGTGTAAACATCACCACGAGGGAGACAAAGGTGGCCTGCCATGTTGCTGGCCACCAACCCCCTTGTGTGTCTTGCCGGCCTTATTAAGTGCTCGCCAACAGCACTTGCCCCAACAGGCTGTTAAGACTATACGGGGGATCTTTGTCTTTGCTGTCGTGTGCAGGTGGAGCCCAGAGTTTGTCTGCGACTGCGATGACGTTGGTGGCTGTGCTGCTGTTGCCGTCCCTCGGTCTGCTGTTGGCTTAAAAAAACCTCGCCAGTAAACGTGCAACGTTGGCCCAACGTTGGCTCGTGGTTGGAACCTTGGGTCCAACGTTGGGCCAACCGTGGGTTAATGTTGGCCCAATAGTTCCACTTTTACTGGGTCACTATTCCGTGCCCCCCTCCCCCCCCCATGCACACCAACCCCAATATTCTCAAAGCACCAAAACCCTCAGCAATATCCATCCATGTTTTTGTTGTCTTACTCTGTGCCTGTTTCTGTTGTGATACACATACCCATGAGTACGCATGAGCCAGTGCATGGCCTAAACATTCGCAAAATATTGTATCCCACTGTATCGCATTAATACGTGTGCCTTGTATAAAAAAAAAAAAAAACTCTCCTTGCACTGCGGTGGGGGATCATAGCTCATGAATAATGAAAGGGCATGAAGTGTGCCAGGAAGTGTTTCCACAGAGGTAAATTAAGTAATTTCAAGTCCATGGGTTGTTCACGGTTGTGCTGCTCCACAGCTCACCAACGTGTTTCTGGGTTGCACCGCGCTGTACCGACGTTTCGCTCTCAAAGCACAACAGGTTGTTTTGTGCACAACCCCGAAAATGCACGGAAGAGCTCGAATGTTACGCGCATCGTCTCGCGTGTGACATCGAGCAAAACGGGAGCAGTTCAACAGGCCTGCAGATGTGCACCCTCGACGTGGAAGCCAGGCCAGAGTCTGCCTTCAATAAAAAACAAATTCTCAACAAACAAAAGAAAGAAACTCGGTGCCCAGGACCAATAGTCAGGTGGACATATTATTTAATTTTGCTTGGAGAGATGTACTCCCTGTCCGGTCATTATTTGTGCTTCGAGAGTACAACTTGCATACATAAGCGCCCTAATGGTTATAAAGTAGTAATGGAAATTTGCATCTTCAAAATATTAAATCATAGCTGTTAAAAAACCCACTTTGATTGTATTTTGGGAACTCATGCAATTTATCAAATGTAAATAGAGGTATGGTACATATATTTTTTCGTAATTTTAAACTTATGACATTAAATTCACGTGTTTGCAAATAAATCATTATCACGAATCACTATTCCACCTAATTTTTTTTATTTTGATGTGAACTTAAGTGCGTGTGATCATGTAAACACACGTGTGTGTCAGTGTGCATCTGCCCATCATCTCAGGCAGTTAACTCATAACACCTGGGTCTATCCCGTAACCTCCTGCTGAGTAGTGAGCCTTAGACACTTCACGTAGCCACAAAATGCACCTAGCCTGGCACAAGAGCCGTGGTGACATAACCTTGTAAAATAAAACCTTTTTTTCTGTTTACTTGGTAGTGAATGGGGGTTGTTATTGTTGCTGGGCATACATTATTACTGGAACTGCACTACGATTCCAGCGATGCAGGGGTTCAACTCCCAGTTCACATCTTTTTTTTTTACCAGTAGCAACTGGTATGTGAACCTGGCCTGAACCTCCCTTCGGTTATCTTTGCCCAAGACACTCCCCCAATTTCAGCCAATAGGAGTTGGACGTTATCATGGGCTGAGTGTAGAATATACGCGCGAAAGGCCACGATCTCAAGTTGAAAAGCAAAGCATGCGTTGGTTACGTTTTTGGTGCTGTGTAAACACCTTATTGTTTTCAGTCTGTGAAAAAAAAAATTCTTGCTAATCTGTGTCATTGGCTCAAGGTGAGTTTGTTGATGCAAACACTGGGGGGACAAAGGGAGATTGGCAGCACGCTGGCCAGAAAAAAAAAACATTTAGTGTGCTCCATCCTTACTTGGTGCTTACTAACAGCACTTGCCCATGGACAAATTCCCATTGGGGGAGGGGATGTATGTACATGCGTGCGTTTTGTGTCTAAAATATGCGTTAAACCGTTTATACCAAATTGGATCTTTGATAGGCGCGGTGGTTTGAGCAGCCGAGTAAATTCGCAGTTACGTCTTAGGAAATGAAATCGTGTGGTGAGTGAGACGTTCTCCCATCTCCGGGTGTTATGTTAATGACCTTACCGAGAATTATGACGGCTGCGCTTCATGAAACACTTTGCCTGTATCCGGCAGCATAGCGATTGATGCATCGGTACACCCGCAATAATAAACACTGCAATAATGTGTGATCAGGTTTTGTGGCCAAATCCCCGATTATATGTATGAATGTTTGAACTTCTTTCGTACCGTCCGTAGCCACCCGTGCTCACCGGAGGTGCGGCGGAAGGACAACAAACTAAAAGCAATCAGCAGTTCTAAAGAAGCGAGTTTTCAATCTAGATTAAAGAGTGTATAGCTCCAGTTGCTTCCTAATATCGGAAGGAAGAGCGTTCCAGACGGCCGCAGAAGCGCGCATCTGAAAGCGCGCGATGCGGTGCGTTAATGCTCTCGACAAGAGCGACTACTAATAATAGTTTATTTTGGTTGTGAGCAAATCGTTTTTTTAATCTTAAGCACTTTGTGTGCAACATTTTGCGCATTCTCCAGATTATACGTTTCATCTCGTTCCCCCCCCTCCCTTCCTCTTTCAACTGGGGCGCAGTATGTGTGGGGCGCGTATTACTTTCCGGATGATCTTATAACCTGGAGAACACGGTCAACGACATGGATTGCACATGTTGCGAATTCAGTGTGTGTGAATTACAAGTACGGTGGACGATTTAGATCCAAGCAACGTTGAATGTTGAGGTCTTGATTCGTTCGCTGTGGACTAGTCTTGGTGTAAGGCCCCGTGGGTGCCGTTTGAGCAATTGGAGTGTTTCGTGGAGGTCCAAAAAATGGCGAAATTATTCGGTGTCTCTTTGCTTATTAAATTAATATACCACATCTTGTCCTCTCTCACATAAGTATTTAAAATGATTGATGAAGTATAAATTAAGTAGTTCTTCCCTTGTGGTACCCTTACAAAAGCAATAAACATTTCTACAGGATCAATATATGCGTTTGTTTAGTCATTTTTTCTCCCGCTGTGGAGTGCATCTGTGTAGTATGCTAATTTGAATGAATACATTATCATTTAACAACTGCCTTTTGTTAATCGACTGCTTGGATGAAGGCATCTTACACCACGTAAGTCGTTGAGGTAAACGTGACCATACTTCACCATTATTGTCAGTGCGGGTTGTGATGGCCAATGGCTTGTTCTGCTATCGCCCGCCACTGATGTTGGGAGTCGAACTCGGGTGGCAGGTTTCCGAGTGCAGTGTGCGAACAGCTGCTACGACTACTTCCCTGAACTGTCAGGTTATTATCAATCCACCCGTGAATTAAGGCCTCCACATTACATGAAGTAATTACAGGAGGTTATTTGGCCATACTTCGCCACACTGATCAGTGCAGTTGCCTGAAGGAAAACGGCGTGTGTCCAGTGCCGATTCGGATAACACCGGCCACTGATGTTAGCCATGGCCGGGAATCGAACTTAAACGACCAAGTTCATAGTTCTGTACTATTGTAAACCGAGCAAGCAGCCTGCGTTGCTAATTGTATCATATTCAAGTCGCACCTCCCATTTCCAGCACAGCTGCAAGGGGGCTCTTTACACTCGGTCCGCATGTATGCTTTATAATTTGCTGAGGTATCGAGAAACGCAAAGGTGTGTGTGTGTGTGTTCGCGCCTTCGGGTGTCACCCAACTAGAGGCGTGCCGAGCGAGAACTCAGCCATCAGTGTTATGGGGAGCGGTGGCGCAGCGGTTAGCGCACTGCGCAATGAAACCAGTCCACCCAAGTTCGATTTCGCGCTCACGGCCAACGCCAGTGATGATTATGTGAAGCGGTCCTGGGCCTCCCCTAGGTCGACTGTGCCTCAGACGAAGACCTGGCGCGATGTATAAACATCGCCACTTGGGAGACAAAGGCGGCTGGAAGTGGTGCTGATTACTCACCCCTTCGTGTGCCTTGCCGGCCTTCATAGGTGCTCGCAAACCGTACTTCTCCCCAACAGTCGTTGAGGATATACAGGTGATCTTTGCCTTTGTGTGGGCCACCAAAGGTATTTAAAGGTCCTCTGACCCTCGGAAAAGGTAATCGTATCTCCACCCGTGCCTCAAAGAGCCTCACGCAACAGATCAGGAATTTGGTTTTCGCGAGAATAGGATGGACTTTGGCTCACGTTGATCCAGTGTCGCCCGCAAGGCGTTCATTAACACGCACACACCGCGCCCTTGCTGAATGCCCATCGCAATGTCATTTTATTAAGGGTAAAATACCTCTGATAAGAGCAGCTTTATTGCAAAGAAGGAAAAGACCCAGGAAAAGGGAACGCAAACAAAATTGTTTTAAAGGTGTTGCGTGGAATTTTAAAATCGGAGAGCATATCATGTTCAGGCTATGACGAGGCCTTCCATCATGTTCTCCATCGTCTGAAAAGAAATGAGAGGTGAAAGTTATCAGTAGAAAATCTGGCACGAAGATTATTACATTTATTTTAAAAGAACACATGGTCGCACCTCGTGGTTACCACCAGTAAACTGGGACGTCACGATAAGAGGAATGGTATCTCACATTACTGAAAGAGGGCAGAACTACATGGAAACACGTTGCCATGAGTGGCCTGCTATTATGTTTGTTTTATTCTTACACAGCTGGCAAAACATTGACTTTTAATGTCCTGGGAACTCCAGGTTTCTCAGAATAGCAGTTCTCTTCACGAGAGAATCAAGACAAGTGGCCACCCTACATTTACTGAATGTAAAGGCCACAGCATTTCTATCTCATTTGAACGCCTTTACTTTCAACTAAACTATTTGGTATTTTACCAGGTAAGGCTCACTGACCTGGCCACAAATAATAGCTCAACAAAGTGGCTTATGATGTGGACATGCACAGCAGTCAAATACTCCAAACGCAGGATTCTAAATGTGGAGATAAAAACCGGAGGACCCGGAGACAAATACACGCGATCACGAGAAGAACACGCAAACTCCAAATACACAGCAGCAGGCGTCAGGGTCGAGATTGATCCCACGACCTCCTGCATACCAAGCGAGGTAGTTAACATTTCGCCACCGTGGCGTCCTATGCACGGTGGTACATTGCCGCGAGGCGACGCGAGCCCAGACCAGGAAATGGGCTTCAAAGCTGAGCCGAATCCTCGCGGGTTGGGGATAATCTTTTAATCACCAACTTGGGGATAATTTGTTATTTTTAAACATTATTATTCCTTTATCTTGACCCCAAAGCAGGGGTGGTGTGACCATAATCTATTTTAAACATAAACTGGGAAAATGTAGTTACGGGGAATGCGCTGAATAAAGTAAATTGTCGCTGATATTTTATGCCAGACTTAAAACGCAATCCCTTTCAACACTGAAATAAGGACAAACTGGTTCAACCAGAATGGGATGGAGAAGGGGCATTGATTGCTTTCCTCGTGCTGCTTAAAGTTGCGGAAAACTTTGGGAGTGTTCTGTAAACAAAGGGAAATTGAAGGTGAATAAGCATGCTTTTCCACAAAGAAGGAACGGTGTGAGCATGGATTTTTTTTATTGGCTTGAGTATGCATGCCTTGTGACAAAAGACGCAAGTAATACCATAAATACGTCTGATTAAGGGCACATCCAAGGTCTAGGTCTGTACGCGTGTGTGTTGATGTTATGTGGGGAGCGGTGGCGTAGCCGTTCGATTTACGCTCACGGCCAACACCAGTGACGATTATCTGAACCGGACCTGGGCCTCCCCTAGGTCTACTCAGCTTAAAATGTGTACCTGGTGCGATGTGTAAACATCGCCACTGGGGAGACAAAGGCGGTCGGGCGTGATGTTGGCCACCCACCCTGTCGCGTGCCGTGCCGGCCTTCATCGGTGCTCGGTAACAGCACTTGCCCCAACAGCATGTGAAGGCTATACGTGCAATATCTGTTTTTGTCTTTGGTGATGTTATATAAGCAGCAAGAGAGGCAGCTGCAAACAGCAGCAGAGACCGGAGAGAACAAGTTCAAATCCAACACTTTCTGCCAATTTATGTGAAAGCCAAACACCAGACGCAACAGGCCAATGCATGCAGGCTGGAAAATGAAGAGAAACGACAGAGAGAGAGAGCGAGCGAGTGGTGTCCTCACAAGCAGCGAGAAAGGCAGCTTTGTGAGTCCAGGTGTTGAGGCACGGAAGTTTCAAGACACAGGTGAGGCTAAAGATTTTTGTTTTTGGTCCTTGTTGAGTGACTACTTGGGCCAAGAATCCGAGCTATTCTCGCCCTGCACAGCTTTGCATAGCTTTGTTATGAAAGCGTAAAGAGGGCTTGGCTCCAAACCTGTCTGCTGGCATTTCACACGGACACATATTGGGTTCCGTCTCACACGAGTGTGCTAATAAAGGCCCGATTGTGTGTGCGCGCGAAATACCCTCTGGTATGAGGTGTGCGTGTTCCTGTGTAATACACACCAACATTGTGGCATACTGTTAACAGTGTACGGTCCAGTGGGCTTTGTGGGCCCGATTTAATTCTCTAAAACTTAACATGTGTTTCAGTGAGGTTTATTTAAAAGAGAAATGAATACGCAAAGGAAAACAATGTTAGGGGTCAATTAATTGAAGGGGGGGGGGGGGGTCACAAGATTATCTGGGCCACGCTGTAGAAGCCCTTGTGGGAGTTGACTGTCGTTGTCCACGCTGGTCAATGCGGGATCGGTGACGGTGCCCGAGGCTGGTTCAGAGGTGTCGTCTGCCGCCCCATGGTGGATTTTTTTTTTTGCTATCGCCGCCACGAATTTCGTTCAAATTGCCGAGTACGTGGCGTGGTGCGTTAACCGCGCTTTTATTTTTGGCAAAAGCCGCACATTTTTTTTATTACTTTATGTTGGATTGAGGGCCCGCTGAGGGGGTAGTATACTTTCCAAGCGAAATCGGGATCGTATTGAATTTTTATTTTATTTTACCAGATAAGGCACACTGAGCTCTATACAGTGCCGAGAAAAAAGTGTGTGAACCCCAATGATAATGATGGATATTCCATAGTTTAACCATGATAGCCTTCTGGAATCAAAGCCGGTATTTTCTTAAATATCCAATAGGATTCATACTAACCAATTCCATGTGTTTTTGAACAACATGAAGCATGGATTAAACAAAGAATTAGGAATTAAGGGTCAGGGTATGTGAACAAGTCAGTGAATCCCTGGTTTAATGAGCTCATTAAGGGAATAATTAAATAATTAGATAGCTCTTCATGGGTGAGTTTGAGAGGCGCCACCCTATATGAAGATAAGACACTTTGTGAGTTTCGTCTTCACCATAAATCTGTGTGGAAACAAGTCATGCCCCGATCAAAATAAATCTCTGAGGACCTCGGAACAAGAGTTATTGATGCTCATCAGCATGGAAAGGATTACAAAACCACTTATAAGGATCTGGAGCTCCACCAATCCACTGTCAGACAGATAGTCTACAAGTGCAGAAAGTTAAAAACCACAGTCACTCTACCCAGGAGCAGTCGTCTTACCAAAATCTCTCCAAGAACAAACTGGAAAATTATCAATGAAGCTACAAAGAACCCCAGAGAAACGTAGAAAGATCTGCAGGCCACTCACCTTGACTTATGTGAGTATTCATGACCCAACTATCAGAGAAGAACTGAACAAGAATGGTGTTCATGGAAGGATATCAAGGTGAAAACAACTGCTTTCCAAAAAAAACATCGCTGCCTGTCTGAAATTCGCCAAAGAGCACATAGATGATCCACATGAATTCTGGGACAATGATCTATGGACAGACAAGTCAAAGGTAGAAGTTATTGGCCTCGTCGATAAACGTTATGTTTGGCGAAACCAAACACGGCTTTCGAACAGAAGAACCTCATCCCTACAGTCAAGCGTGGTGGTGTGAATGTGATAGTTTGGGGCTGCTTTGCTGTCTCAGGACCTAGACGGATTGGCATCACTGACACAACCATGAATTCTGCATTGTGTCAGAAGATGCTTGAGGAGAATGTCAGGCCATCCGTTTGTGAGCTGAGCTGATGTTGAACCGAAGGTGGGTCTTGCAGCAAGACAATGATGCTAAACATACAAGTAGACCTACAAAAGAATGCCTGCAGAAGAAGAAATTCGACGTCTTACAATGGCCGAGTCAAAGTCTGGAACTAAAACCCATCAAAATGTTGTCGCAGGACCTGAAGCGAGCTATCCATGCAAGGCAACCCTCAAATGTCACCCAGTTGAAGGAGTTCTGCAATGAGGAATGGGTCAAGAATACACAAATCCGATGAGAGACTGACCAATGGTTACTAGTTACTGAATCTCAAGGTTCATATACTTCGTCACACGTGGTTATTGAATGTAGAATCATTTGAGGATGAATAAATGTTGAAAGAGTATCATGTTTTTGGTGTATTTTTTTAAATCCGGTTATCTTTATCTATTATTATGACTCAGCTTAAGATCTAATAACATTGTAGGTTTGAAATATGTATATCATGTTAAAATCCTAAAAGGGTTCACAAACTTTTTTCCCGGCACTGCAGTTCTTTTTCAAAAGCGACCTGGAGACAAATAATAGCTCAACAAAGCGGCGTGTTACTTGCACGTTTATAGCTTGTTTCTTGTCAACTGTACGTGAAAACAACAAATGATGTGGTGAAGCTGCTACTTTGGCGGTGAATGCACAATTAGCACATTTTTAACACACTTGCCAACAACACTGTGGCTCTTATTCACAGCACAAAGAAAACAAATGAAAATGTGAGGTTGTTCTACCAATGTAAGTGATAGCCTGCTATTTTTTCTTGACATTTTCTTGTAATGCTTAAAAAAATACCCTCTTTCCGCATATCTAACGCTAAAATGTGGCTTCAAAAGTAGGTATGTAACATCCTCTAACTGCAAGAGGTTTGCAATGCAAATTCCTTTACGTCGTGACACAAGCACCATATTCAAAAGTAAAGAAAGAAACCTCTCTCTAATGCGAGCAGCGTGGGAGGAGAGGGCACTTTGGCAGTTGATGCTGCCCGTGATTTTTGGCACAAGGTCATCACCTCCAGGTTCCAGATGACAAAGGAGCCGTCCATGCCTGAGCTGCACAGGACCCTGCATTTTGCCTTGTCTCCCTCCAACACGGACAGCTGCCTGTAGCGAGAGGACACCGAGACACACACAGATTCATCTTCTTTGGTTCTTTCGGTAAAGTCACGTAGAATGAGAATAAAATAATACATTGATAAAATAAAATAACACAATAATATTCTCACGACGTTTCGGCCACAACACAAGCGGCCTTCATCAGGTGAAGGGACGAGACTGTCTGGTAGGACAGCGCTGGAGTGAAAAAGCCACGCTCAGATCACAACCTTTAAGCTGTGTGAGAAGAAACAAAGCGCCTTGACAAAGGAATTAGCATATAATTTTAGCATTGAAATGGCTGAGTGATTAGCTTGTGACTGGTCACAGAAATGGCTATGTTAAAGTTAAAGCATACACATCCGCAGAGGCACCCCTTGACAAAAGAATTAGCATAGAATTTAGCATTGAAATAGCTAAGTTAAAGCATACACATCCGCAGAGGCACCCCTTGACAAAGGAATTAGCATAGAATTTAGCATTGAAATAGCTGAGTGATTAGCTTGTAACTGGTCACAGAAATAGCTATGTTAAAGTCAGAGCATACACATTCACCGAGGCACGTAGTACAAATCAAACAGGAGAATGTAGCATTGAAATAACTAGGCGAATTTAGCATTGAAATAACTGAGTGATTAGCTAGTGACTGGTCACAGAAATGGCTATGTTGAAGTCAAGGCCTACACATCTGAGCTATTCACAGTAACTGGGTATACAATACAATATATAATGAATACTATATAGTGAACCAATAAAAAACTAAAATATAAATTACCTTAATGTTATCAATAAACTCTATATTCTCCAATCAGCTAAGCTACCAACAATAAGTCGTTATATATCACAATGCTATATGGCGAAAAAATGGGTGGATTCTTACCCTCAACTTTAGCAACACGGATAGCTACGGGCCGCTTTCAGACGGACGAATTAATCCATGGTCGGAACAGAGGAGGGGGAGAGAGACAGCTGCGAGGCGCTGTTATACTCCATGTTGTAAACCATACCATTAACCGTGATGTGAGAGGTATTAAGAGTCAATGCTGGCGAAAAAGCTGCGGTCTGAAGGTCATCGTAAAATACAATAAATTAAGAACATAAATGGTTTAAAACATCTTTCCAATGGTTACTAAGCCAGAATCCATCTTCTCGGTTGAAATTGTCTCTGTGCTTGTATATGTGAATGGCCTCATGAACGAATCTCTCATGGTAGCCGGTTGGTTTGCAAAGAACCTCCGTCTTGGAGAAGTCAATGTCATGTGAGCCCACTGAATTATAACAGTGATCTGCCACGGCAGAGGAGTTCGTTCTACCGTGTTTCAAGTCTGCTTTATGTTTGCGGATGCGGTCCGAGATATGTCGTTTGGTTTCTCCAATGTAGCTACTACCACAGAGGCACTTTAGTTTGTAAACGCCCGGGTACTGTATGTCTGGAACAGCATCTTTTACAGATGGAACTAAATCACGGATTTTATGTACTGTGTTGAATTGGACCTGGATCTTGTGTTTATTCAGGATTTTGGAGATCTTTTTAGTGACCCCTGCAATGTAGGGTAAGGTGATGGTTTTGAGTGGCTCCACAAGAGGATCCTTAAATTTTGATTTAAAGCTTTCGTGACTGCAGTAATTCATGTTCTTAGTTTTTTCGGTAAAGTCACGTTGAAGAGAAACAACAGAACAACAAAATATATATCAGACTTATACGCACACAACTAGATCAGTTAGACAAGACACTCTACAAATCACACTTATCATTGACGGCAATAATGTCCACATCGGATTGGGAACATGTAGACAATATGACTGCCTCTTCAGCTGCTACTATGTCGACCAAATGTAAGGAAAACCTGATTTCCAAATTTAACCTCCTCTTCAACAAAAGACCGGACCCACACACCAAAAAGTTAGACGTTAATAAAGTCGTAATTAATCGCAGTAACAGTTCTCTTTCCGATGGTCTGAAATCCGTTTTAGCTAAAGGTCTAAACTTTGCAGTCACACCTAAACACATACCAGTTAATGATATAATTGCCCAAGTAGACGTTGCTCTCAGGGGCCTGGGTCACATCGCTGCAGACGTAGCAAGATCTGAAATCGCTGCAACCCTCAAAAACGCTAAGATGCCAGCTAGCAACCTCAGCAAAGATGAGCGTTTTGAATTATATAAATTAAAAAAGAGGAATGATATTGTAGTTCTCTCAGCTGACAAAGGCAATGCTACTGTCATCATGGATAAAATAGAATACAACAACAAAATTAAAGAATTACTCGACGATGGTAGTTATACAAAAATAAAAAGAGATCCCACCAACAGCCTCGTCACACAAACCAACAAAATAATTTCTGATTCAACCGCATTAATTGATCAATCTAAACAGTTTTCGTTGAAACCTTCTGCTGCCAGGCCACCAAGATTATACGGCTTATCAAAAATACATAAAGTTGATACACCTCTTCGTCCCATAGTCTCTACTATCAGCTCCCCCACCTACAAACTAGCTCGTTTTTTGTCTGAAATCCTGCGTCCTTTCACTGGAAAGACCACCTCTGCGGTACAAAATTCTACTCACCTGGTATCAACAATCAAGGGTATTTCCCTGTCCCCAGACGACCTGCTTGTCAGTTTTGATGTAGTTTCCTTATTCACCAAGGTTCCTGTACCTGACACCATTGCAATCATTGAAGACTTGGTTCATCAAGGACTAAACACTGAGGTACCCCCCCTGGTGAGACACTGTTTAACCAATACATACTTCACTTGGAATGGAACTTTCTACAAACAAACTGAGGGCACCCCAATGGGCTCCCCCCTTTCTCCAGTTATAGCTAACATTTTCATGGAGAAATTTGAGACTGACGCCATCCAGACTGCCACTCTGCGCCCAACCTTATGGAAGAGGTACGTGGATGACACTTTTGTCATCTGGCCACATGGCCGGCCTGCTCTAGACCAATTCTTCGACCACATCAATTCCATACACCCAGCCATCAGATTTACCATGGAAGTCGAAATAGATGGCAAGATACCTTTTTTTGGATGTCCTAATTAAAAAGAGACCTGATGGTTCAATGAGCCACTCTGTCTACAGGAAAGCTACCCATACGGATGCTTATCTGAAACCGGATTCCCACCACCATCCATCACAGAAGAATTCTCTCATCAAGACTCTGTATCATAGAGCCCAATGCATATCCGACCAGGAACACATAAGCAGTGAACTCAAGCACGTACACCAAGCTCTTAGGGCTAATGGTTACTCCGACTATACAATCCGCAAAGCTATAACTCAAACCATGAAGAAGAACCCTCTTGAGGAGCCTTTCAAAACCATCACTTTACCCTACATTGCTGGGATCACAAAAAAGATCTCCAAAATCTTGAATAAACACAACATCCAGGTCCGTTTCAACACATTACATAAAATCCGTGATCTGGTTCCGTCTGTAAAAGATGTGATTCCGGACATACAATACCCTGGTGTCTACAAACTAAGTTGCCTCTGTGGTAGTAGTTACATTGGAGAAACCAAACGCCATATCTCGGACCGCATTCGTGAACATAAAGCATACCTTAAACACGGTAGGACCAACACCTCGGCCGTAGCAGATCATTGTTCTAATTCAGTAGGCTCACATGCCATTGACTTTTCCAAGACGGAGGTTCTTTGTAAGCCATCTGGCTTCCATGAGAGATTCGTTCATGAGGCTATCCACATATACAAGCACAGAGACAATTTCAACCGAGAAGATGGATTTTATCTTAGCAATCATTGGAAAGATTTGATAAATCATTTCAGTTCTTGATTGATTGTTCACGCTTACAGTGGCTTTCAGACAGCATACATAAAACAAAATTTCGTCTCCCCCCTCCTCTTTTCAAAAAATAGATGGACTAGTCCTGGGCAAACTGCCAATCGCTGCGCGTGACGCAAACGTTTTTTTTTATAAATAAATAAATATGCCGTTTTAAAAATAAATTTATGCAAACCGACACACCTGATGATGACCGTTTGAGTTATGGTCGAAACGTCGTGAGAATTTTTTATTGTTTTATATATATTTTGTTATTCTGTTGTTTTTCTTCAACGTGACTTTACCGAAAAAACTAAGAATAAGAGGATCCTTCTTCATGACTGGAGTGATGGCTTTGCGGATTGTGTAGTCGGAGTAACCATTAGTCCTGAGAGCCTGGTGTACGTGCTTGAGTTCACTGGTAATGTGTTCCTGGTCGGAAATGCATTGGGCTCTATGGTATAGAGTCTTGATGAGGGAGTTCTTCTGGGATGGATGGTGGTGGGAATCCGGTTTCAAGTAAGCATCTGTATGGGTAGCTTTCCTGTAGACAGAGTGGCTCATTGAACCATCATGTCTCCTTTTAATTAAGACATCCAAAAAGGGTAGTTTGCCATCTTTTTCGACCTCCATGGTAAATCTGATGGCTGGGTGTATGGAATTGATGTGGTCGCGGAATTGGTCTAGAGCAGGCTGGCCATGTGGCCAGATGACAAAGGTGTCATCCACGTACCTCTTCCATAAGGTCGGGCGTAGAGTGGCAGTCTGGATGGCGTCAGTTTCAAATTTTTCCATGAATACGTTGGCTACAACCGGAGATAGGGGGGAGCCCATTGGGGTGCCCTCAGTTTGTTTGTAGAAAGTTCCATTCCAGGTGAAGTATGTGTTGGTTAAGCAATGTCTCACCAGGGGGGGTACATCAGTATGCACTCCTTGATGAACCAGGTCTTCAATGATAGCGATGGTGTCACGTACCGGGACTTTGGTGAACAAGGACACCACATCAAAACTGACAAGCAGGTCGTCTGGGGACAGGGAAATGCCTTTGATTGTCGATATTTGTCACCAATGTTGGCTGCGAGAGTAAATCGCGGGGTTTGTTGAGCAGTGCCCTACCCACAACGCTGCCACTCCCCACAGAAGACGCAGGGGTGACACACACACACACACAAGGATGCGTTATTCACTCGCAGGTCTGGAAATGACATTCCCGTCTA